GAATCACATAAGCTAAGATACTGGCATTCAGTAGGGAATCATGACTTCTCTGCCAGCTCAAAGTGGTAGTGGTGGATTCTTAACCCTTGGTGACTTGCATAATTACTTATAAGAAGTAATAAAAGTTCATTGTGTATGTGGAACAAATGACCATAAAATGAGGAATAAAATTTTGGTGATAATTGAAAATTGAATTTGCTTATCATGTGGGAATATACCCAGGGGACATAGATTGGAAAAGGGCATGTCTCTGTCCCTTCCCATCTCCACTTCTTTCCCTCCCTGGCGGTAAGCTTCCACTTCTTACTTCTGTTTCAGTATTTCCAAGTCCTTTACCCCATGGTCTTTCTATCCTACAGGCAAGATCACACCTGTAAACTTTTGTCTTTTCTATCCCTATACCCAGCATGGTACACCTGTATTTCAGCATGGCTGGGGAAAATCACCCAGTCTTGAATTTTTTGGTCAATATAAATCCATGGTCATGAACCTCACCTGGGTTTTCTACACTGCCCACCAGTAGTGAACTTCTCAGATTTGTTCTATTTCTGCTTAACTCATTCTACAAATATTTATTAAGAGCTTACTTTGTGTAGTGTAGGCATTGAGGATTCATTGGTGAATAAGACAGTCTTTGTCCTTGTGGAACCTACATTCTGTATGGAAGCTGTTCCAGATATTCCCTCTCTCAAAGCTTTGAGCCTCTCCCAGCTCTCTCCCAGCACTCACTTTCAGCTCTTATCTCACTCCCACCTTCACGGGAACAATAGAAGCCATCATAGTAGAACGCCAACTTCCTGACTGAACTGCATATGCCATCTTTTACTCTTTCAGTCCTATAAAATGTTAGAGTGCCATATTAGGGTTCCAGAAGGACAAAGCTAAACCAAAAGGTTTAACTGAAGAGAACATAATGAAGGGATTATTTACAAAGGTGTGGACAAGGTTAAAGGGAACAACAAGGGATGATGAGGCATCCAGGGATCAGCAGCAGAGGCGATCTGATACCACCCTGTGGTGGTTATTAAGATCTAGTCTCTTCTATACTTTGCAGAGTGATGCTGTCGCTAGGATCTTGCAGACCACATTTCTGCTTTGCCAACTGCCTCCCCACTAGGCTCTGTCAATAGGAGGCACAGGAGGAAGGCTGGAAGAGCAAGAAAGGACTTCCTGCTTACGTACTGTTTGCTTCCATGTTTGTTGGCATCACCACAGCAAGGGTTCTTCACCCTAGCCTTGACAGTTGAATCCAGTAACAGCAGTTGGTTCCAGTTCCACGCTCGCTCCTAAAATCAGCCTTATCTGCCTCTACAGACTTAACTGACATCAGTTGGCAAGTGTCCCTCCTCAGAGGTCTGGGTCCTAGTTCTTGGATTCTCTCCAAGAATTTTCTCTTCGCTCTCCCAACCCTAGAGCTGGTAGCTGCTTCTTGTTACTGTCTCTGTGATGCTTCAATCACCTTTTTGTGTTTTCAGTTCTCTAATTAACCAATTAACAATCATTTACATAAAAATTTATGTGTGCTGCAGTTAGTATTTTTGCCAGTGTATCTTTAGAATTGATTCTTAGATGTGGGAATTTTGGTTTAAAGACTAAATGGTTATGTTATTTTATTAGATGTTTCTAAATTCCCCTCTTTAAGGATGGTACCAGCAATGTATGAGAGTGCCTGTTTGCCTACAGCCTCACTTGCAGAGTAAATTGTCAAACCTTGGAATTTTTGCCAGTTTGAGGCTTGAGAAACAATATCTCAGTATAGTTTTAATCTGCATTCCTCTTATTATGCACAAGATTGAGATCATAGATTTATTTTCTTTTTTCTGTGAACTGTCTTTTCATTTTATTTTTATCTCTATAGTTTTTATGTCTTTTCTATTTAGAAGCTCTTTATATATTTGTGATATTAGCCGTTTATTTGTAATATAAGTTGCAAATATTTTTTTCTCAGATTGTCAATTGTCCTTATTACTAAGGGTGCTTTTTGCTGGGTAAAAGTTGTCAACGTTATTAATATTTTCCTTTTATGCTTCTAGATATTGAGTCAGTTAGGAAAGGTTGCCCCACTCATTTATAAAGTAATTCACCCATATTTTCTTCTAATAATTACATAGTTACATTTTTAACACTTAGGTCATTTTAGAATTTATGCTTGTATATAGTTTGAGGAAGAGATACAATTTTAGTTGGTTTTTTTTTTTTTTTTTTTTTACTACTAATTGATCTAACATCATTTATTAAAAGAGTTTTCTTAACTGATTTGGTTTGCTGTCTTTACCTTATACTAAATTTTATATACACTTGGGTCTCTCTGGATTTTCTGTGCTGGTTCATAAGTCTGTCTATATTTTCATTCACCAATACCACTCTGTTTCATAGAGGCTTTACAGTACATTTTAACACATAGTAGTCTACCTCCCATCCCTCCGTTGTTCTCCCCCCCACCCCAGCTGTTTTTGCTTGTTTTTTTTCTAAATGAACTTTAGAATCAAATCAAATCACAGGGCAAAAGCATTGGGGAAGGGAGGTGATAGTTTTCTTTTTTTTTAAATTGGGATTGCATATAAATTATAAATTAAGAACTGATACCTATAAAATTGAGTCTTCATATCTAAGTACATGTAGCCCTGGGTTGTGCAAATGGTTAAACATTTGGCTACTAACCTAAAGATTGGCGGTTTAAATCCACTCAGAGGTGCCTGCGAAGAAAGGCCTGGCAGTCTGCATTCGAAAGGTCACAGCTATTGAAAACCTTATGGAGTGCAGTTCTATTTTGAAACACAGGATTGCCATAAGTTGGAAACTTGATGGCAACTGATTGGTTATCTAAGAACATGAAGTGTTTTTCATTTATTCCAACCTATTTTTGCATTTTTCAGCAGTATTTTAATAGTTTTTGTCACATAAGTTTTAGACATTCTTGTTACATCTATGCCTAAGTATTTTATTTTTTGCCATTTGTAAATGGAATTTGTTCTACTATTTCTTCTACTTGGCAATTGTTTCTATATAAGAAGATTATTGATTTTTCTGCTTTTAATCCTAATACTCTATTTTTTTTGTTTGTAGTAGTTTTCCCATGAAATATTTGAATTTTCAAGATATGTGATCTTTACACAGAAAACTATAAACATTGTTGAGAGAAATTAAACAGTAAAATTAAAAAGGGAATATATTGTACTCATGGTTGGAATACTCTATTTTAAAGGTGTCGGTTGTCCCCAAATTGACCCATAAATTTAGTGCAATATTAATCAGAATCCCAACAAGTTTTGTTATAGAAATAAGCAATATCCAAACTTAACATGCGAATACAAAGAGCCAAGAATAGCTAGAGCATTCTTGAGGAAAAACAAGGTGGAGCACTGATAAAGTAGTGATAATCAGTACAGTGTGGTGTTGGTGCAAGTAATACAAGAATTTTCTATACACTAAAGATAGCATTTTTATCATTGGGGGTAAAGATAAACTTGTAATAAAGTGTAGAGACAACTGGATAACCATTTATAAAACACCATATACCAAGATAAACTTTTAATAAAGGGTAGAGAACTAGATAACCATTTGTAAAACACTGTATACCAAGATAAACTCCAAGTAGATCAAAAATTTTAATGTAAAAAATAACCCACAGAAGTAATAGAAGAAAATATAGGTTAATTCATTTATTCTTGGTGTGGGAAAGACCTAACTATTATTCAAAACTAAAAGCCGCAAAAGAAAATACTGACAAATTCAATTACATAATAATAAAAAGGCTGCAGAGCAGAATTCGTCATAGGGAAAGTTAAAAAAACAAATGACTATCTGGGAAAACATTTTGCAACTTATATTACAAAAGGCTCATCTCTCTAATATATGTAGAGCTTCTGGAATCAGAGATAAAAGGAGCCAAAAACTTTCTTAATAAAAAGGTGGGCAAAGGACATTCATAGTGCACAGAAAAGGACAAATGTGCAAAGTAATTTACTCATTTGGTTTTGATTACAAAAGCAAAATATTTGGAGCAACCCAAGCATCCAGCGTAGGGGAATGGATAACTAAACCATGGTTCCTTCACAAGATGGATATCATGTACCTGTGGAAAGAGGTGAGGAAGACCTCCAGGACAGACTGCTAAGTGAGCAATGGTACAGAACATGTATGCATTATGCTACAAAAGAGTGGGAAAGAAGAATATATATAGTTTTGCTCAATTTACATAAAGAAACACTGGAAGGTGAACTGTGTGGAAGGGACAAAGGTATGGGCTTCTTAGTGCACAACTTTTTTGTATAGTTTTGATTTTTGAATCATATTAACATATAATTTATTCAAAAGAAAATTAAAAAGATGTGATCAATGATAGTTGAGGTGTAATAACATATCCTAGGTCTTTGTATTTGTTTATAAGTTGCTTTGTTGTAATTTTACCAAAACCTGTAATTTGTGATGTTACTTTCTACCCTTTGACATAGAAATCCCACTTCTGGGAATCTATTCTGAGATACACTTGAAAATGACTGTAATTTTTGTTAAATATATATATTTTTAAATCCAACAATAGGTAACTGATTATGGTACATACACACGATAGAATTTTACTTAACAACTTTTTAGTAGTTCATACCTCTGTTTTAGTCCGGTTCTGTTATTATATGCAGAATAACATTTTTTTGCTGACTTACACTTATATGGGCTTATTTTCAAAGATTTGAAAAATACGGTGTAAAGAAAAAAAAAATTACTGATAATCCCCCCTCCTTCTTCCCTACATCCAGCATTCCCCTTTTTCACTTTGGCTACTCACAATACAATAAAACCTGTAGCATCAAAGATGAGAGATTTTTCCCCTTCATCTTTTTCCCATCTATGTATGATTATTGTATGATTTACTTACCAGAACCTATTATTTGTAGCCTTTACCTTCTTAGTCCCTGGGTGGCACAAATAGTTAAAATGCTCGGCTGTTAACTGAAAGGTTGGAGTTTCAAGTCCATCCAGAGGTGCCTTGGATGAAAGGCCTGGCAATCTACTTTGGAAAACTCAGCCACTGAAAGCCCTGCCTACTCTGACACACATCAGGTTGCCATGAGTCAAGTCAACTCGAGGCAACTGGTCACATTTTTTGTTTTTGTTTAATATACCTTCTTAGGGGGGCCCCACTGATCCTCAGTTAGTCCTGGAAGTCATATAATCTCCTGTGCTTTCTTTTGCCTCCTCCCCCCTTTTCAAAGCCCCACAGGGACAAACCAATTAGTAAACAGAATTTTTATGTCACCATTGTCACCAGTTTATCTTAGGAAGATTCCTGAGACAGTAAATGAGATTGATTTCAAATCTCTGTCTGCTATTTTGTATTACTATTAGAGCTAATAAAATTCTGTGGTCAGAACATCAATTTAAATGATAGAGTCTTGGATTTGGAAATGACCATAGGGAGCATCTTAACCATTGGTGTTCAGAGTTTTTTGACTGTGATCGTCAATAAGAAATGCATTTTTCTTTATGTTCCAGCACCTGCCTACATCTGCCTAACAACATAAGTACCAGAAACCGAAGTTCCAGGGAGTCATATTTACCTTTAATGTGGCACACACAAATATGTTCTTATTCTCTTCTATTCCATGTTTGAAAAACACTGCTCTAATTCAACCCTTTTACTTTTAAATAAGTGAAAGCACTAAGAGGTGGAATAATTATTTATATTTATCCATGAGAAATGGTCAGAGCCAGGTCTCCCCTACTGTTGATGTTGGATGCCTCAGGACTCTGTCCTTTCTCATCTCTTTATACTTTTCTCTATCTCAGTCACTTCCTGATTCACCTCATGGCTTTGAATTCCATCGATATACCAATGACTCTCAAGGGTATAACTCCATCTCAGTTCAACTCCATCCCCCACCAAAGTACTCTTGTGAAGACCACCATGACTGCCATCCTACTAAACCCAATGTTCTCACCTTAATCTACCAACAGCATTTGATCCCTTGATCACCACTCCCTCCTTCACTGTGTAATTTCACAGCTCTGCAAACTTCACAGAAGGATTTCTGATTGATCCTTCTCCAACTCCGTCACACACCTGTTCCTTTCTTATAGATGACCATCTTAGAAAAACATGCCTCATTCTTCTGTTTGAGGCTTTCAGCTACATTGACTGACGGCTTAACATCTAACACCAAACAAAGTAGAAAACCCATATGATCGTATCAATATATGAGAAAAATCTAGCCAACATGCAAAAAAATTTTTTAAAGGAAAATAGGAATAAAAAAGAACCATTTAAATATAATGGAGGTGCCAAAAATTAATAACAAAAACAAAGAGGGAACAATGGTAAAAAAATAATAATAATATTATCCTAAGGAACAAAATACTTAATACTATGTAAGTTAAAACCAGGAACTAAGGAGGGACGCCTGCTAAAATCATTATTTGAGTCTTCTTAGAGATTCTAGAAAACACAATATGAAAGGAAAAATACTTGGTATTCACATTGAAGAAAACGAAAAAGTGAAATTATTTATTTTGCTGATAACTAGAAAAAAACCAAAGGGTTCTAGTTTAAAGAGTACAGAAAGAAAGGGAAACGAGTTACAGAAACGGGAAAGTTAGCTGGTACAAGATATTAATACATTTCTTTCCTCCTAGCAATAAGACCTAAAAAAAAGAAAAAGAAAATGAGAAGAGTATTCCATTCACAATAGAAACAAGTGTATAAACTAATTAGGAATACAATTAAGAAAATACATGACATATAAAAACAGTAAAATCATAAATTGAGAACAGAACAAAAGGAAAGATATTTTTGAATGGGAAGAAAATATTTAATGTCACTTCTCAGCTTCTCACAAAATAAACCAAAAATAATTTAAACACATTATAGTTAGAACCCAATCGAGTCTTTTAAATATTGGCTAAAGTGTTTAAAAAGTTTATATTGGAAGTATACATGCCCAAAAACAGCCAAGAAATTTTACATAACTATGAGTGGGAACTTGCTACATTGGATATCAGAGCATATTATAAAGCCATTATAATCAAATTAATATGGTATTGATAAAGGAATAGACAAAAATATCAGTACAAAAGAATAAGAATTAAACAGATCCCATTATATGAGAATTTAATAAATAACAAAGGTGGTATATTTCTGTTCAGTGGGGAAATTGATGGATTATTTAATAAATGGTGTGAGAACAACTGGCCATCCACATGGAAGAGTGTAAACTCAGCTTCTAAGACTACATAAAATAAATCCTAAATGAACTAAAGACTAAAAACTTTTTTTAAAGCAATAAAATTTTTAGAAGAAAATCTAGAAGCCTGCATAAGCAGTGGAGGGAGTTGGCCTTCTTAACCAAGAGTGGAAATATAGAAGCTATAAAACTTTATGGCAAACATTTTATTATTTTAAAGTTTATATACATATATGTAGTCTGTAATGTGCTATGCCAGCACCTACTGAAATTTAAAATACACTCACCTAGCAATCCCAGTCCGGGGACTCTGCTTATTGCACGGTGGTCAGCAGCGGTAACTGGAAACAATGTGAATGCCTATCAGTAGGAAATGGGTGCTAAATGATGCTACTTCACGTGAAGGACGTTTTAAAAAATGAGGAAGGGTATAATTATACCCGTTGACTCAAAGGTGGTGTTAATAGAGAAAGGTAAGATGCAGAGAAGTATGTGTAATATCACCATTTTGTTAAAAACAGAAAACTAACCGAAAAGCAAAACAAGGCATACAGGTACATGGGTATGTGTATGTAAAAGTCTGAGTTCAAAGGAAAACATGAATGACTACATACCAGTTTGTTTACGTGAGGTGGGGAAGGGGGAGCAAGAGTGTGAAATGCCTATATGTGAGGGGATGGAGGGATCCAAACAAAACAGTGGAAAAAGGGAAAAGACCATTAGAAAAATAAAACAACCAATTGTTAACGAATTTGTATATGTATATACAAAAATAAAGTTCCACAACTAATTGAGCTGCACTGAGCGTAATTCATGATAATACTGTTTGTTCGCTATGAACAAAATAGACGAGTTATTAAAATCTGAATCCCAGAATTTAAATAGCAAAAGCTTAACGGGGCAATTCTGCGAAAGGGTTCCCAGTATTAACGTGGGGTGATGCCACCAGGGTTGAAAACACTGCACACGATGAAATACGATCCAGTTAGACACAGTGGGATTTTAAAATATTATCCAATCGGCAGTTTAGTTTCTAGAAACACGCAGAAAAAGCGGGTGAGAGCTTTTGAGCTTCAGCTCTAAAACTCCGTGGCAGCCAAGCTCCTTTGTTTGGGCCAGGGCCCGCACCAGAGAGATTCCGCACAAGTAAGATGGACCTCCGCTTGCAGAGCTCCACGGCAAAGGCACTACAGGAGTGCGAGGCCTACCTGGGGAACTCTTTGAGGACACCACCTGTGCTCCATCTACCCCAAGCAGGTCACCATCATGCTCAAGGACATCAAAGCGTAAACTATAGGTTTCGCCGGATTACCCCAGAAGTATTTTTTAGGGGCCACCAAGTTTTGAAAAAGGCCGCCTTTACAATAGTCCCTAATGACACAACGCCTATTTTAGCTCACCGGCCACAAGGAAGTGAGTAGACCCATGCATGCATAGAGTACACGCTTCGAGTCGGGGCCGACTTGATCAGTGGCTAACTAGTATAGGATGCCAAGATAACGGATATGTCCTGAAAGCTCAAGTGATTCTAGTTACAGGAAGGTTTGCCCCAGGCAGAGAAAATAATCAGGCAAGGGGCTCATTTGGAATTACCGTAAAATCATTAAGAACCTACTACTTGGTTAAGACTTAATTAGCACGTCACTCAACTCAGGTGTGAGGACTCAAAACTCGGGAGTAATCCTAATACGAACCAAAGCCAGTTATTTTACAACTAGCTGAAAATCCGTATTGAAGCTCTTCTCTTGAAAGACATAAGTGGCTCTTAAAAGAGCCGTTTGGTTATTGAAGAAGCTTCCAACCAGAACTTTACTTTTTCTTGGGAGCCGCCTTCTTCGGCTTGGCAGTTTTCGGCTTGGTCACCTTTGCCTTCGCGGCTTTGGGCTTCACCGCCTTAGCTTTGGCAGGACTCTTGGACACCTTCTTGACCTTCACAACTTTAGGCTTCTTAGGACTCTTAGAGGATTTCCTTACCGCCGCAGGCTTCTTAGTCTTCTTCGGAGTCTTGACGCTTTTCTTGGTAGTAGCCCCAAGAGGCTTCTTGGGCTTCTTAGCGCCTGTTACCTTAGCTTTTGCTGCCACCTTTGCGTTGCTGGGCTTGGCTTCGGCAGAGACTGCCTTCTTGTTGAGTTTGAAGGAGCCTGAAGCGCCGGTGCCCTTAGTCTGCACCAGGGTGCCCTTGCTCACCAGGTTCTTCAGGCCCAACTTGATGCGGCTGTTGTTCTTCTCCACATCGTAGCCAGCGGCTGCCAACGCTTTCTTGAGCGCGGCAAGGGACACGCCGCTGCGCTCTTTGGAGATAGAAACTACCTGCACTATGAGCTCCGATACTGAAGGCCCTGCAGGCTTCTTAGCAGCCACTGCAGCCTTCGAGGGTTTCTTCGCCTTCTTGCCAGCTGGAGCTTTCTCCGGAGGCGTGGAAGCAGCCGGAGGTGGCGGCGCGGTCTCCGACATAGTGACAGCGAGAAATCACAAGAAGACACCACTAGAACCTGACGAGACAGGAGAACGCAAAGGGCCAGAGCGGAGCATATTTATAGGGCGGGACCGCGCTGTGATTGGTGCGCGTCGATGCCCCACCCCCACCCCCGGGCACCCGAGCGCCTCCTGTGCCGCCCCCTAGCTTGCTCGGTTTCAGAAGGCGGCCGGAGGCTGAGCAGGCTTATTTCGCGTCTCTCCTGACGCGCAAGCGCACCCACAGAGCCGCGCGTGCCGTCCCAAGGCTTTGCTATGTAGAGAGGGAAACAGTGTGTGGGACAGGGTCGAGCTCTCTGTCGCCCAGTTACGTCAGAATGCTACTTTCCTCCCCAAAAGTAGGTAGTGTTTTGGTTTGGTTTGCAAATAGAAGTAGGCAATCTAAATTCCAATCACATGACAGTTTCACCTCAATTTCCAGAAATCACTAACACCGCAGTTAACATTCATACTGTACGTGTAGAAAGTTTGTGACAGCAAATGCAATTTCTTTAATAGCATGTTATTTCCTCAGTCCCACACATCTCACGCACGAAATTTCTGTGCCCTCGTTAACCATTAATTCCTACAACACACCCCGAACAGGCCCAAATGTTTAGTCTGTGTTCCATATCAGCATATGCTATCACTATATGGTGATATGTTCTTAATTGAAGAAATATTTATCGAGTGGTCAAAATCGAGCATACAAGAGTTGAATTTAAAAAGTGCGGACTGGACTACACAGTTTCCTGACACGCTTTATGACCGGGGTTTATCTCGCCTGATTGGGAAAGCGAGAGGGAACGCCTAGGAGTAAGATTTTAGAGCAATCCTTTAACTTGTCTGATACTATAAAGAGCATTTGGAAGCACCAAAACGCTAAGCGACTTCACACTGCGAACCAGAGACTAACAGAATAAGATGGTGTTAAAGTAGAATCTCATTACACATTCCTACCCAGGGTACCTAGCTCCCAGCACGTCCAGGAGCTTGGATATCACGTATCATTCTCGCGCGCGCGGTTGCTGTTCTCAAATAAGTCCGCTTTTAGATCAAGCAAACCGTGATTGTCTCCACCACCTTCAAACAACCTAACTGTTTAGCAACAACCGATACTAGTAAGTCAAAACCTTGGAAAGAGGTGTGTCAGGTGCTAGCCAGTAAAGGTCCTACACACATGCCTCCATTTCTCTACTACTTTTTCTTATCACCCATTTTCTTGAGAATTTATCATTTTAAAATATATTACATATATTTTTTATTAAGAACTTGGAAAACAGCAAGCGAGAACAAAACTACGCTTCTTTTTGTTTGAAGGCTAGATAATTGCAAAACACCCGAATACAAGCTTCCCGTTAAGAGGTTTCGCAAGAATACGCTTCAAAAAAAACAAACCTTTACTACTGTATCAGATCAAACGCTTCTAGCAGTAATTAACAACTACCAAACGCAGCTTCTGAAATTAACAAAAAAACAAAACCAAAAACTCCAAAGAAGCTAATTCAGGGAAAGTTTCTACGCTAGTTTCATTGAAATAATGGTTTTTGCTTCCTGTTTTTCCATAAACTGGCTTCAAATAAAACCACTCGTGCAAATGAGGTGTGCTAGGTCTGCTTTCTTATTGGCAGTTGAGTAAAGATCTCTTAACCAATAAAAAGGAATCATCTGTGCTACCTCCTGTTAGTGTAAAATGATCACATCTGATGTTGTGTGAGGTTTTCCTCATAAATAAGTAGTTGGGTTTTGGCCGCTTCGAATCCACTGCTCTCTCTGCTAGGGCAATTGTTACGAACAGCTATGGGCCCGCATGCCGGTTCATCAGGCGGCTGTGCTCGAATACCTGGCATCCGCCATTTTGGAACTGGTGCACGACGCGGCCAGCAACAACTAGAAGACGCCCATCATCGCGCAGCTGGCCAACCGAGACGCAGCAAACGGCTGTACAAAGTCGCCATCGCGCAGGGCGGAGTTCTGCCCTAAAAGACCGACCGAGAACTACAAAATGAAGGACAAAATAGATCTGATCTTCTGCATTCGCATGTAGGTTTTAGATATTGTTAAAATGTTAAAAGTCCACTTTCCTGAGCTGCCCAGTAGCGCAAAAGGAAGTCTTGCACCTTCCACTTTGATCAGCCAAATTGTGTTTATTAAAGCAATGCCACAGCCATTTTGCATCTAGGGAATTGTTCTCTAGGCTTCAGAATATAAGACCTTCAGAACACTCTTAAGTGTAGAAATTAGAAAACTAAACAGCGAAAAGACTAGTTACAGAAAATGTTTCTGTGAGCGCTGATGTAATATTTCCATATCTGAGATTATTACTTGTAGGTTTCCATGAAAGGTAAAGATTCTCTGTCACTTAAAACATCACAAAGGATTTCCATTTTTTAGTAAAAGTTTTCAGGAACTTCTAAACTGATATCGGGTAGAAGAGCACTGACGTGTACATTTAACGGGGGTGGGGAAAAAGGGCAATATTCCCTTTTTCCCCAAGAACTGAAGGGTTTTACAGAACTGGCGGACTACAATACCATTGAAATCTAACTTTGTGAAAAAAATAACCTGTTCTGTCAAATGCATTACGTTCAGACTAGTAAAAGATGGGGAAAAAGGTAACATGTGAAAGGAGCCAAGTGTAGAAAATAGTACCCAATGAAACTGCATTATTGCTGGACGAGAGCTTAAAAAGAAGCCAATCAGAACATGGCGCGTGATAGTTAAACATTTTTCTCATCCAATCACTACACCTCAGGTACTATAAATACTAGCGAAAAAGCTGGTTAAGTTATTAGTCCTTACTGTCTGTTTTCATCTTGTTTACTATGGCTCGCACCAAGCAAACTGCCCGTAAGTCTACCGGCGGTAAGGCGCCGCGCAAGCAGCTGGCCACCAAGGCGGCCCGCAAGAGCGCGCCCGCCACCGGCGGCGTGAAGAAGCCGCACCGTTACCGGCCCGGCACGGTGGCGTTGCGCGAGATCCGGCGCTACCAGAAGTCTACCGAGCTGCTCATCCGTAAGCTGCCGTTCCAGCGGCTGGTCCGCGAGATCGCTCAGGACTTCAAGACCGACTTGCGCTTCCAGAGCTCGGCCGTGATGGCGCTGCAGGAGGCGTGCGAGGCCTATCTGGTGGGGCTCTTTGAGGACACCAATCTGTGCGCTATCCACGCCAAGCGTGTCACTATCATGCCCAAGGACATTCAACTCGCTCGCCGCATCCGCGGAGAGCGAGCATGATTTTAATTTCCACTCAGTTTTCTTGGGAACATCCCTTCGGTCTAAAGGCTCTTTTCAGAGCCACCCACGTTTTCAAGTAAAATGGCTGTAGAAGACACTACCATGAATTCCATAATTGTTTGGTCAGCCATAAGCTTAAAAATTAGGCGTGGACAACATTTTGCTGGTTTACACGTGTGTTCTCTTGGTCTGAACATTAGGCAAGTAAACTCGTCCTTCGGCAAGTGAAAGGTATTAATGCTTCTCGAGCACCAATTGTGGAAGATAGAAGTGACAAAGGTATATCATAATATGATTATATATGGGTGGAAAACAAACCTTTCAACTTAAGTTCCTCTTTTATCTTGGGTGTTTTTACGATTTTCGTTTCTCATGAATCAATCTTTTTGCCCTTCAAAAGGTTTCTTCTCTCCTTACGAAAGTAATTTTTTTTAATGTCATATGTATACATTCCTAAACCCAATTGCTCCAAGTAGAAAAATGTAGGCCAGTTAAGGAAGCAAAGACCAGTTGGCAAACCGGGCTCCGCCTCGCTCCCGCAAATTCCCAGCATTTGGAGGAGGATTTAAGGGAGGGGACTGTTGACGTCACATTTCCCGCCGGCGCGCTTTCCATTCCCTGCTCGGCTGTGGGAGGGCGGGGGAGCGGGGCAGAGGAGAGTAACTATATAAGAAGCTGCTCTGTCTTGCTCACTTGCTGTGAGCTTGCTTGGGTAGTCATGTCTGGCCGTGGAAAAGGCGGGAAGGGTCTTGGGAAAGGCGGCGCTAAGCGCCACCGTAAGGTGCTCCGCGACAACATCCAGGGTATCACCAAGCCCGCCATCCGGCGTCTGGCTCGTCGCGGCGGTGTCAAGCGCATCTCTGGCCTCATCTACGAGGAGACCCGCGGGGTGCTCAAGGTCTTCCTGGAGAATGTGATCCGCGACGCCGTCACCTACACGGAGCATGCTAAGCGCAAGACGGTCACGGCCATGGACGTGGTCTACGCGCTCAAACGCCAGGGACGCACTCTGTACGGCTTCGGCGGATAAGGTTTTCAGCTGGCCCTTTTAAGTTTATTTTCCAAAGGCCCTTTTCAGGGCCGCCCAACTAATCAAAAGAAGAGCAGTAATGATGAGGCATAACGTAGGACTTAATGCACTTAACGATTGTAGTTAAGTCATTAACATGGTAGAGAGGAATGTGAGTTTTTTTCCTCTTTTGCTTAAAAGTAAATGATAAAATTTAGCCTGATACATCGCCCTACTCTACTGGATGAAGTGAAACAATTCCAACTCATTAAAAATGAGTAGAAAAAAGAACCAGGTGTTGTACGGAGCTTGCATAGGTTTCTAGGGAACAAAGAGAGACACCTTGTCCAATCAGCGAGCTATCCAGTCGGAACTGATGTGCTAATGTGCTTCCCAGGGGAGTCGGCTGGGGGATGGGAAAGCCCCGCGAAACTTTTTTTCTAAACTTGTCTTTATTTTACGGATTATGAAATAGACATCTAAATGGCCCTAAATCATGTCCTGAGAACAGCACTGCAATTATCACTATCAATATGATGATTTGTCTCTGGATTAAAAAAGAAAAAAAATTTAAAGTGATGGGCTTGGAGGAAACAGGATTCAGGCAATACCAGAATATCCAAGCATTGGATTCAGGGGAAATTAAAATCTGGTTTAGGGAGAAAAGGCGCCTCCCTTTCTTTCAGTAGCAACACAGCACTCAGCAGTTAGCCATACTTTTCTTCTTTCCTTCACAGGTACCAGCTCACTCTCCAAAGGGCCACAGCAACTGACTTCCCTCATTCCACTCCTGCTGAGGCCCAATAATCCAGCCGGACACTGCCTTTCTCTTGACCTCTGCGGTTTTAGACACAGTTGATCACTCTTCCTTTACGACTCTTAATTTATCATGATTCTGCCTCTGAGTTTTCTTTCTACTCTGTTTTCCCCAACCCTTTTTTTAGTATCCTCTATGTTTCTGATCTTGCCCCTTTGTTCACACGTATCTCGCTAGAGATCTCATGTACATCCATGACTTCTATCCTTTCCAATGACTGTCCAGTGTTGCCATCATCTGTATGTCCGACAGGGCATCCAAAGCAAAACTCATCTCCCTCAACTACTCACCACTTGAATTGACCTCAGTCCAAAACCCACAAGCCATCCTCGAATCCATCTTCACCCCATATGTCCAATCCCCAAGTGCCACACAGTTCACCTTCAAAATCCCCATGATTTACTCACTCCGTTCTCCATTTTCACTATTATCACTGTTTACTTGCACAGTGAATCCTCACAAAAACAAAAAAACAATGACAACGACAACAAAAACCTAAACTGTTGGTATAATTCCCTATTAACAAATAAAAAAGGCAGGCTTAGAGAGGATAATTGAATTGCCCAAGACCACACAACTGATAAATACAATGTGCTGAGCGTAAGTCTTGGTTACCCAGGAGAGGCTCATTTTACACCTATTGTCCTAGTTTAATAGGAGCCCTAATGGAGCAGTGGTTAAGTACTCAGCTGCTAACCAAAACCCACCAGCTGCTCCACTCGGGAGAAAAGACCTGGCTATCTGCTGCCCTAAAGATTACAGCCTATGAAAACCCTGTGGGCAGTTAGTTCTACTCACTCGGATCAATATGAGTTGGAATCGACTTGATGTTAATGGCTTTAGTTTGGTCCTGGTTTAAGTATTAAAAGTGTCCTTTTCATTACAAATAAAGCTTCCTTTTATTAATAGGAGCCCCCCTTTCACTCTCAAAGTGTTCCAATTTGGAGAATAAATGCCATGATCTCCTTATGGTTGACTGGCAGGATCAACATGGAGCCAGGGCTCTCTGACACTAAGCCACTACACAATACCACCTGCCATTCCTCCCAGGAGCTACTGGAAGATCTAGTCGGTCTCTTCCATCGCCAGTCTGCCACCCTCGACATTATTGCCAGAATGTTCCTTCTGATAAGCAAACCACTGCCACTCTCAGAATCCTTCAGTAATTTCCCTTTCCCTTTGGAATAAAATTCTAAAAATCATGAGATATTCACGATGATCACATTATTTCTTTCTCCCCAATCCCATACCATTCCCTGCACCTAATAACATAGACATACTTGAAGAACCCATTCATACTCCCAAACAGTTCATTGTTTCTCAGATCTCCAAGATAGCCTTTACATAGACTGTTCTTTCTGCCATTAATTGCCCTCCTGAACTTGCCCTCATTTTTCAAATTTTAATTCAAGGATGACCGTTCCAGAATACTTCTTCCTAACCTGCCAAGATTACTGGTACTCTGAGCCTAGACACTCCTTTGCATCTTTTTTTTATTTTTCCCTTTGTATCTTGAGTAATAAATAAATAAAAAAAAAAAGATTGGACTCATGGCAACCTCGTATGTTACAGAGTAGAACCGAGCTCCATAGGGTTTTCTTGGCTGTAATCTTTACCAAAGCAGATGGCCAGGCCTTTCGTCCATGGTGCCATTGGCTGGGTTCTAACTACTAACCTTTAGGTTAGTAGTCAAGCACAAACTGTTTGTGCCCATCTTGATTAAACTTCTATAATTTTAAAACTTCATAATAATTATTGGCTTTTTAGAGTTTATATTCTGCACTGGGCCTAGTTCCTTGATACTTTAGAATAGTTCTGGTTTATTTCTGATTACCTAAACCTGGCCTAGCACATAGTAGGTGTTTTTGAAATCTTTATCTAATTAATGGAAACCCCAGTGGCTTAGTGGTTAAGAGCTATGGCTGTTAATCTAAAAGGTTGGGAGTTTGAATCCACCAGGTGCTCCTTGGAAACCCTATGGGGCAGTTCTACTCTGTCCTATAGGGTTTCTATGAGTCAGAATCGACTCAACGGCAAGGTTTTGTTTTTTTTTTTTTAATTCAATTAATGATTACATTTTCTCATTAAATTCTCACATCAGCCTTGTAAAGAGTGTCTCAGGAAAAGACAACTTTCAGAGCAGTCAATGAGACAGAGGCATAATATGCTAACCATGCTATCTAATTTTAATCTGGATTTCTAGACTAACAGCTATGTTTTTGAGAAAAATATGTTTTTCCTCGGTGGTCAAAACCAGGATGTAAAACTTGACCAAGTGACCATCTACAAAAAAGTCAAACCTGTTGCCTTCCAGTCGTTTCTGATTCATAGCAGTCCTTTAGGACAGAATAGAACTGCCCCATAGGATTTCCAAGGAGTGCCTGGAGGATTCAATCTGCTGACCTTTTGCTTAGCAGCCTAGCTCTTAACCACTAGGCCACCAGGGTTTCCAGTGACCATCTGTACCCCTCGAAATACACGTACTCAGGAAGAGTGCTGCCTGGGTGCTGTTGCCAAAGAGAGATTTTTGTAAGATAGACAAAGAAAATACATGTAAGCGTCTTGTGACCATGATATAAGCATCCTGTGAAACTACCTGTAATCATTAACTATGCTATTAATAATGTGATTATAATATTCATTGATTTTCCTGTAAGTGCCCTCCCTATGGTCCTCATTTTACCCCATAAGAATACTGTCTAATGACACTGCCCCAGGACTACCTGGTTCCATTTTTAATGGGCTACATGGTTCCACAATTGCAATTGTTTCAAACCCTTAATAAACCTTTCTGTTTTAACTTGAAACAGTGTTCAAGTTCTTCTCTACAACAAGAGGACTACTTCATCACTAAAGAAAACTCAGAAGGATTTGAATCTGAAGCCTGTGTGTGAGGCTCTACATCAAACCCAGAAGATGAAAAGGGAGCAGTTGATTGAGAAAGATAGAAATTAAGGTGATAAAAATGTTCTGAAACTAGATTGTGGTGATGGTTGTACAACTGGGTAAATACACTAAAATTCATTGGATTATATGCTTAAAATGAGTATCTAAATCATATCTCAAAAAAGCTGTTAAAAAAAAAAAATAAAAAAAATAAGACAACCTCCAGGCAGGATAGCAGGAAATGAGGCTGGCAGAGTGGGCACCATTTCTCTGTGAAGGGCCTTGTGTACTAGACACAGACGTGTGGGCTTCGTCCAGTGCGAGTCATTGTAGCTAAACAGGGTTTTTAAGTAAAGATGTCTCCTGGCCCAATTACGTGTTTAAGTAGATTGGGCTTCAGAAACTCGGAACTGAAGGAAAGATGTGAACTCACTTTAGGTTGGCTAATAGGAAGACATTTTATTCTCATCTGAAGAGATAGTCACAAATGCCTCTTTGAGTGAGTTCTTTCTTTCTAGTATCCTTTTTATAGAGGAATGATTTCATCCTCTGCATGTTAGCTTCAACTAGTGTCTCTTCTAGATTTTTGGATCCTGTTTTCCACCTGATAATTGTCCTTCTTCAGATGGGGAGTTATTCTGAATTATTCAGGTGGGCCCAATGTAATCACAAGTCTCCTTAAAAGTGGAAGAGGAACTCAGAAGAGGAGGTCAAAGTAGATGAGATGTGAAAAGGACTAGATGAGCAGTTGCTGGCTTTGAAGATGGAAGAAGAGGACCATAAGCCCAGGAAAGTGGGTGGCCTATAGAAGCTGGAATAGGCAAGGAAATAGATTCTCCCCCTAGGGCCTTCAAAAAGAACACAGCTCTGCCAACACCTTGATTGTAGCCCATTGAGACCTGTGTTGGATTTCTGACCTACAGAACTGTAAGATAATACATTTGAGTTGTTTACCATTAAGTTTGTGGTAATTTGTTACAGTACCAAATGGAAAACTAATACACTAATCATAGAATTACTCCTCCTTCCTAACTTCGTCTAGTCCCGAGCAGAAACTGACTTCCTAGTCTTCTTCCCAAAATCAGCTAACACGAGTCCAAATATTAGAAGTTCCTTTCTAACAAGCTCTGAGACATCCCAAAATTCCTCAGAGTGTGTTCTCCTTTGTTGCAGCCACTCGATAAACACAGCCGGTCAGCTATATTGTCAGTCATAGTCTTTGATTGGAGGGCATTGACAGATCCCAGTGGAAATATGAAAGCTGCATGGGTATGGGGAGACTAAGGAGGGATGCAGTGGTAGAAGGGCAGAATGGAAAAAAGACAGACATTTCATTAGTGCTTGCTGTGTACAAAGCACTGCATGAGGCACTTACATACACCAGATCTTACTTAATTTATAATGTCACTCCTACATATGTTGATGACTCCCATATCTACATTTCTAATCCCAAACTTCTCCTAAACACAAGATTTATATATCGAACTCTCTATTAAACATCTCTCATTTAGATGTCTAATATGCATCACAAGACTAACATGTCTGAAATAGGATTCTTGATTCCTAACCAACCCCCTCCCCACCCCACCTATGAATCTATTCCTTACCCAGTGTCTGCCCAGTTGCTCAGGAAACAAACCTAAGAATTACCTTTGATTACTGTCTTCCTCTGACCCCACATCTATAAATAAAGTCTCATTGACTATAACTTCAAAATATTATGGTCATTATACATTATATGTGTGTTTATAATATGTCTATAATATTATATATAATTCATCCATTTCTCTATCTCCACTGCTACCACCTTAGTTTCATCCACAAACCCACCATAATCTTCTGCCTAGACTCCTGCTAAGAGTCTACCAGCCAGTTTCCCTGCCTCCCTTATTGCCCTGCTACAATCTATTCCCACACAGCAGCCAGCATGCTCTTCCCTTTGTAAACTTTTATTATTTGTTTTAAGATAGGTAATATAGTCACATGGTGCAAAATTCCATGGTATAAGAAGTTATTAAAAAAAAGTATGGAACAATGTATTTAAAAAATTTCATTTCTATCCCTAGCTACCATCTCCTCCTCCTCCCTCTACCCGGACAATTAGTATAATCGTTTTCTTATATATTCTTTTTTCCTGAAGGACTGCATTCATATACTAGTTGTTACATTTTCACTTTTCCCCACAAATGAGAATCTATATGCACTGTGCTGAGATTTGTCTTTTTATTAACAGACTATGTCTTGGAGATTCACTCAATCACTCAAAAGATATATGCTGAGTACTCACCATGTAAGTTCCCTGGGTGGAACAAACAGTTCATAATAAGCTATCAACCTAAAGGTTAACAGTTTGAACCCACCCAGCGACACCTCTGAAGAAAGGCCTGAAAATGTGCTTTCATAAAGATGACAGCCAAGAAAATTCTATGGAGCAGTTCTACCCTTTAATACATGGGGTTGCCATGAGTCCGAATCTACTCCATGGCAACAGGTTGTTTGTTTGTTTTGTTTTTTAACCTACCATGTGCCAGGCCTCAACCAGGCACTGGGGAGTCAGCAGGGAACAGCGTGGCTTTTGCACTTGCACCAGCATTCCAGGAAAGGGAGACAGACAATAAGCAAAGAAGTAAAATAGATTTCTAGGTGCTGAGGGGAAACACAAAGCAAGAAGGATGACCAGAGAAGGCCTTGTTCACACCTGAAGGAAGTATGGGAGTGCACTCAGTGAACATCTAGGGGAAAAGCATGCTCACAGAGGGAACCGCCAGTGTAAAGCCCTGAGGCTGGAGTGCGTGTAGGAAGTTTCAGGAAGATGGTCATTTTGGCTGGAGCTGTGCTAAAGAGGGATAAATGTGTCCAGAAAGAGGTAACAGGAATTAGACCATATGGGGCCTGAGGATCATGGTAAAGACTTGGCTTCTACTCTGAGTGATGGGGTCAATGGATGGTTTGGAGTTGAAGAGTGGTATGCCCTGACTTCTGTTTTAACAGGATCACTCTGACTGCTATGCTGAGAATCCATCAATGGGGGAAGGATTGAAGCAGGGAGATCAGGCAAGTTGCTATTGCAATAATCCAGGTGAGAAATGATGGTGGTTTGGACTAACAGTGGAGGTGGTGAGATATGGTTACATTTGGAAGACAGAGCTGACAGAATTGCCAAGGATGCCTCAAAGAGTTTTGGCCTGAACAACTGGAAGGCCAAAAATGTGAATTGACTGAGATGGGGGATATGGCAAGCTGCATTTTTCGTAGGGAGGAGAAGAGATATCAGAAGTTTAGCTTTGGACATTTCAAGTTTGGAATGTCCATTAGATAACCCAAATCAAAAAACCAAACCCATTGCCATCGAGTCGATTCCAGCTCATAGCAACACTATAGGACAGAGTAGAACTGCTTCATAGGGTTTCCAAGGAGCACCTGGTGGATTTGAACTGCTGACCCTTTGGTTAGCAGCCGTAGCTTTTAACCAGTACACCACCAGCGTTTCCAAGGGATGACAAATAAGCAACTGGATAAGTAAGATTCCTGAATTCAGGTGAGAGCTCTGGACTAGAGATAAAAATTTGGGAGTCAGCATTAAAGTGGTGAAACTAGATATGATCACTTAGAACACATAAGTCCAAGAACTAAGCTGAAGTACTCCAGAGACAGTATATAGAGAAGTTCCCCTTTTTTAGTAGGGCTGTGTAGTATCACATTTTATGGAGATTATATATCTCGAGGAGCCCTAGGGGCATAGTGGTTAAGAACTCAGCAGCTAATCGAAAGGTCAGCAGTTCGAATCTACCGGCCGTTCCTTGGAAACCCTATGGGACAGGTCTACTCTGTCCTATAGGGCTGCTATGATTCCAACTATGAGTCGGAATTGACTCGACGGCACACAACAACAACAACATATATCTCGAAGCAGCTGCTGTCCATTTTATTCTGACTCATGGTGACTTCATGTGAGTTAGACTAGAACTGTGCTCGACAGGGTCTTCAATGATTTTTCAGAAGTAGATCACCAGGCCTTTGTTTTGAGGCACCTCTGTGTATACTTGAACCTGCAACCTTTTGGTTAGCAGCCAAGCATATTAACAATTTGCAGTACCTAGAGACTTCACCTATACACATACACATACCATAATTTATTTATCCAGTCACTTCTGATCAATATTTACATTGTTTCCACTAACTTCTGCATTTTTAGCTGTAGTCCAGACCTCTCACCTGAACTCAAGGATTTCATTTATCCAACCACCCACTCAATATCTCTTTCAGTGTCGGAGAGAAGCCTGTTAGCAGAATAATCAGGCAACAAAGTTCTGTTTTTGCTCAAGTAGCCATCAATAGATTTCTCAAACATTAAATAAAAAATGCTGGATATTCAGTTGGTTGTGTTGCCCAATTAGGGTCTCTGCCCTGGAGCAGTGGATCCAATGAAACGTACTCCAAGTCAGAAAGAGAAAGTTTATTAGAAGGTGACACCAATGGCGAGTCTGACGGCAACATTGGCTGTCTTCATGGAGTCCCGAAAGGCAATTTCTACATCAGAGCTTATATATCATTTTTGCAAGAGTTACATAGTGTCTTCATACATGTAACCCACAGATGGTCGGATGAGTATACATCACAAGACAATTACAAGAAACTCCTTATTAGACTAAAGATATGCATGCCAGACATATGTACTCTAATCTTTATGTTTGTAACAGGAAAAAAAAAAACTTATTTAAAAACTTTTGGCTTGTGGAACTGGCCTGCCAAGTTTACTCTGACCGAATGAGATAAGGAGAAAGAAAGAACGTTGCAGACCAAAAGCGCCAGGCAGCCTTCCTAGCTGCAGCCTTGCAGGCTGAAAGCATCCCCCAACAGAATGAACAAAAGAGGGAGATCAAGGCCGCAAGAGCCAAGAAGGCCCTACACCCCTTTGGAAAGAGACCAGTGCAGCTGGTACAGTGTAAAAAAAAAAAAATTCTAGGTTATTTAGAGTATCATTATGGCGTTAGTTATGTCAAGTTCTCAACTGACCATTTTGAAAAGGAGAAAACATGTTAAGAGGTATTAGGCTCACCGTTGATTTCTCAATTTGGGAACATCATTTTTTTTAAGCTTTTCATAACCATGTTGTAGTGTTTAAAATTTTCATTGTAAAAACAAACAAACGTGCACTTTACAAAAGGAAAGGAAAGGGGAGCTGGAAAAAGGAGGGAGGGGGAAGCTGTGAGAGGAGATGAGAGCCACTGTTGCCTCAGAGGGAGCTTCCGCCTTAAGCTTCAGCTTAAGCCCCTGTCAGAGGCCTAGGGGTGAACTCAGAGGGAAGAATCAGAGATCTGAATTATAACGCACAGACTCCCTTGGTCTAGGAAGTAGGGACTTACGACCTGCTTAAGTAGAAATTAACAATACCAGGGCTCCTTTAAAACTGAGACCATGAGGCTTGCGGGTGGGGAGTGGGGGGGTAGTATGTCAATCAGCATGATGCCAGGCTCAAATTCAGGAGGTGGCTTATTTCTCAGCAAGCTGGGCTGACACAGACTGAGTTGACAAAGGTTTGGGGTGCGACCAGGCGGAGCTGGGTGTAGGAACAACGGTTAATAAGGCCAAAGGACTGCAGATCTCTGATGTGTCCAATGGCAGAAACACTGGGAATAAACATCCAGCGTCTTATGTCGATGTGTTTTAATCGAACTGCCTGCCTGCATGTCGCTGGCGGCACTCTCGCAGGCTCACGGTATTTGTGCATTGACTGAACCCTAATACTAAAAACGATCTTGGCGTTACAGGGCTCCCTCCAAATTAACCATAGCCAGCATTTAGCGCGGGGCAGGCTGGAGCCCAACGCGGTAAAGAGCTTATTATGGCCCTGACAAGTGAGTTCTCCATTTAAGGACAGAGGTGAAAAGATAACGAGGATTTCCAGCCGCCTCAGCAGTTTCGTCTTCTCCTGAACCAGTCTGGAGACTATTAAAGCTCTTGGTCCCTAATTGGCTAAAGATATATTCCCCGTTCAGCACTGCGCTACTCAATTGGCTGGAAAGAGGGCGGGCGACTGAAAGCCAACCAATAGCGGCAAGGACACTTTGTTTTTACCAGGAGTTAAGGCCCCAGGCTATAGGGGACAGGAAGGGTTCACGTGTTCCACTACATTGTTAAGGATAGAAGAGATATGAGCGCAGCCGAAGGCGAATCAGGTGACCCAGGATCTACTTCCGAGTGATCGTCCACGTACACTATACACTATCGAGCTCTGATACGCATAGGAGTGCCCGGTTTACAGTGGAATACAACTGGTTTGGCACAAATTCTGAAGATTCCAAAAAACATCAGAGCACAGCTCTTCCTGTAAGTCAGTGGGCGGCCCTGAAAAGGGCCTTTGGGGGAGGGGGAGGAACTTTCAGAAGGGGTTATATAACCTTAACCTCCAAAGCCATACAGAGTGCGACCCTGGCGCTTGAGAGCGTAGACCACGTCCATGGCTGTGACCGTTTTGCGCTTGGCGTGCTCCGTATAGGTGACGGCGTCGCGGATCACGTTCTCCAGGAAGACCTTGAGTACCCCTCGCGTCTCTTCATAGATGAGACCGGAGATCCGCTTAACACCGCCTCTACGAGCCAAGCGCCGAATAGCGGGTTTGGTGATACCTTGGATGTTGTCACGCAGCACTTTACGGTGGCGCTTAGCGCCCCCTTTGCCCAAGCCCTTCCCGCCTTTGCCACGACCAGACATGTCTAGCAAACAATGCTGAGCAGTCCACAGAAGACAGTGACTCTAAAAACTGGGTAACGAGTACTTTATAAGGAAGCATCGGACCTCATCGAGAACTGAAAGCGCGGGCGGGAAACAGCGCAGCCGCCACCGCCCCTAAAACTCCCTGCCCTCTCCAGGCAGTGAGTGACCAAAAGGTTATGAGGGAGGGAACATAATTAAACTTTTAATTCCTCGATTTTTTTGCTCCTGTTCCCTGCACTGCTATTTGAATCTGAGCTGTATTTTAGGCTGAAGATTTTAATAGCTACTTTCAATAAAAATGGTGGCGCAGTGGTTAAGAGCTCGACTTCTAACCAAAAGGTCGGCAGTTCCAATCCACCAGCCGCTCACTGGAAACCCTATGGGACAATTCTACTCTGTCCTATAGGGTCGCTATGAGTTGGAATCAACGCGACAGCAACTTTTTTATTTTATTGACAAAGCACTCTCTCTTTTCATTCAGAGGGCTATGAGCACACTAGCTATGTGACCTTCTATAGGTCCTTATTATGCTGCCTTCATTTTCGTCACTTACAAAGCTTAGACAATGATAGTACTTATGGAAGTTTTGTGACGAGTTTAATTAATGCAAGCAAAGCGTTAGAACAGATTGGTGCAAAGAATGCCTACATAAATGTAATTTACTTTTAACTTATTATTACTTAAATAATGCCTGGGGTTGAAGGGATATTGCCTTGGGATCTCACTTTCAAGCTTTTACTCCAAGCACAATGTCACCTAACAACAACAATGTTACCAACAGCAAATATGTATATATTAGTGAGAATTGTATTTTTAATCACAGCATTTAATAAATTACAAGATATTGATGGATTCAGTGTTTTGTTTTTCATACATGTCACATTAAAAATGTCCAAAAATTTTGCTTTGTGCTCTCCCCCAAAGTGCCTTAGCCAAGACTTAGACCTTTCCTGCAGCCTGGCCTACAGTGCAGTTCAAACTTCCACACTAATTTCTCACTGTTGTGTTAATCTCCCTAATACCTGAAAAAATGGAAAGGCTACTACTAAAAATTTAAGATCATCAGAAAAATACACCCCAAACTATACTTCCTTCTCTCCTCTGCAAGTCATTTTTTTCACACAAGTCTCCGTAAAACAATATAAAACTGATTCTAGACTCCTGGGCAAGAAAAATCCTTCCTATGTCTTACAATAGCCAACACTTAATAGATATAATGTGTACATTATAATCTGTACATTAACTAAACCAAACTTGTCACCATCGAGTCGACTCTGACTCATGGTGACCCCATGTGTTACAGAGTAGAACTGAGCTCCATAGGGTTTTCTTGGCTATAATCTTTATTAAGGAATCTGACCAACAGCTTTTCTTCGGCAATACCTCTAGGTGAGTTCAAACCAACAACCTCTGAGTTAATTAACTGCAAACCATTTTAGCCACCAGGGACCTATCTGTATATTAAACATGATTTTTTTGTCTCCAGCCGATTTAGTCACACCCCTAATACAAAGTAACAGATGTTTAATGCAATTATATTAAAATGCTGGCAGGGCTCTTCAAAATGTTAAGGAAATTTTCTTTCACAAGTGTAAATTTCTTCCATTCTTTGATTTTTAAATATCTGCTGAAGTTTCATTTCTAAATTGTGCAGAACCTATGCAATTAAGTAATTCCAGAGGCTAAAGTTTGAATTGTCATTTCAAATTTAAAAAAAAAAATCCTAATATAAGGCAAAATTATACACAGCCTGGGAAAATTAATAGTATTTATATAATGCTATGTGCCCCAAAATCAACTCATATCATGCGATCAACAACCCTATAAGGTAGGTAGTGTTACCGCATTTTTCCGATGATGGAGAGACCGACTTGTCCAAGATCACATTAAAAAAAAAAAAAAAAAAAAGCCGTCAAGTGGATTCTGACTCATGTGATCCTACAGGACAGAGTAGAACTGACCCACAGGGTTTCCAAGGAGCAGCTGGTGGAATTCAAACTGCCAATCTTTTGGTTAGCAGCCAAGCTCTTAATCACTGTGTCACCAGGGCTCCAACTAAGATCATACAGTAAGTAGTAAAGCTGTGATTGAATACGGGGAACCTAGTATCCAAACGCTGCTCTATTCTGCCAGCTTCCAGAGTCCTTACCTAATCAAACAAACAAAACTCCATTGCCATCCAGTCCATTCCGACTAATAGGGACCCTGTGGGACAGATGGAAATGTCACATAGGGTTTCCAAGGCTATAAATCTTTATGGCAGTAAACTGCCACATGTTTCCCTCATGGAACAGCTGGTGGGTTCAAAATGCCGACCTTTAGATTAGCAGCCGAGAGCTTAACCACTGCACTACCAGGGTTCCCTTGAGTCCTTCCCGAAACCAAAAACCCAAACCCGTTGCGGTCGAGTAGATTTCGATTTACAGGGACCCTAAAAGACAGAGTAGAACTGCCCCCTAGGGTTTCCAAGGAGTGCTGGTTAATTTGAACTGCCAATCTTTTGATTAGCAGCCATAGCTCTTAACCACTAGGCGAGCAGAATTTCCACTATAGACTAAAAGGATCATGAATTCTAAGACTGTGCTAACCTTTTTCTTCCTGACACTGGAGGGCTGTTCTGTTAAGGTGCTCAAGGGACTGAAGACTAAAGCCAGAATTCATGTTCCGAAGCTCCGGGGATTGCCAACCTAAATCACTGCCCCTAGTCCAGCTGACCCTTAGGTAGTAATAGGCATTTTTACTGATAGCTTAATGCTGTCCTATCAGTACTGCTATATACCGCACCTTTTTACCTACCTAAAACCAAAACCAAACCCGTTGCCGTCGGGTCGATTTTGGCTCTTAGTGACCCTACAGGACAGAGTACAACTGCCCCACAGGGTTTCCAGCCAGCGGCTGATGAATTGGAACTGCAGACCTTTTGGTTAGCAGCTGAGCTCTTGACCACTACACCGCCAGGGCTCCATTTTTTTCCTACTGACACAGAAAATATTGAGGAAAAAAGTCAAGTAGTGTATGTGAGAAAAAGTACAGCTATAAGAGAGGAAAAAAAAAAAAAAAAAAAACTTGACCTCCTTCCTAGGAGTGAGTCGGGAAAAAACCAACCTTAGTTCAGAGTAAGGGCACCGATGTCTCTCAGACCCTTCCATGGTAGTCTAAAAAGTAAAAGGAATTTATATATTAAAACCTAAAAACTATCGGGGTGAAGGCTTTATAAGAATATAGAAATATTCTTCTCATGTTTAAATTTGATAGGACGTTAGGCAACTTAGTCACAAGACTAGCACGACTTGATGCTAACCATTCCTAATACAGGCCCTTGGAGTAGCAGTGGGAAACTTTGAAATCTCTTATGTCCTAGGGTAAACCATCCCATTGTCCGTTTGCTTTCTTTATACAGCATAGAGGGCACAGCCCACTTACTGATATTGTGTCTACCAAAATAGTTTAGTAGCTTTTACTTAGTTCTATCACACTTAGATCACATTGGATAAAACGCTTAAGATGCTACAGCTGCTTCTATTTGAAAAGTTGGGTGGCTCTGAAAAGAGCCGTTGGGTTACCTTAAAAAAAAAAAAAAAAAAAAGAGAGGGCCAAAATTCGAATTTACGCTCTCTCCCCGCGGATACGACGCGCAAGCTGGATGTCTTTGGGCATGATGGTGACACGCTTGGCGTGGATGGCGCACAGGTTGGTATCCTCAAAGAGCCCCACCAGGTAGGCCTCGCACGCCTCCTGCAGCGCCATCACGGCCGAGCTCTGGAAGCGCAGGTCGGTCTTGAAGTCCTGCGCAATCTCGCGGACCAGCCGCTGGAAGGGCAGCTTGCGGATCAGCAGCTCGGTGGACTTCTGGTAGCGTCGGATCTCGCGCAGCGCCACGGTGCCGGGCCGGTAACGGTGCGGCTTCTTCACGCCGCCGGTGGCGGGCGCGCTCTTGCGGGCCGCCTTGGTGGCCAGCTGCTTGCGCGGCGCCTTGCCGCCGGTGGACTTACGAGCTGTCTGCTTGGTACGAGCCATGACAAACGAGCATAAAAAACTAGAGGGCCGACAGAAGCATCTGAGAGAATGGAAGAGCTACCCTTCTTTTATAGAAGCTGACCACCAACTAGTGGGCCCGAGAACATTCAAAAGTCCCCGCGCCTTCCCTGGATTGGTCCATCCCCTATACGGCCCGGATTAAGAGCTGCTTCCGGGTTGGTGAACGCATCACGCCCTGCCCTTCACTGTGGTTCCTCTGACGTCATTTTATTTAACCATTCACTGCTGTCTCGACTGTAGACACAAATCTTGCACTGCAAGCTTCTAAAGCCTTACAATGGAAAGTAATGTAAAAATCCAAAGAATACGAAAACCTCCAGTGAATACTGCGTTAAAAAAAAAAAAAAGCAACATCCAAAAGACAGTTTGTATGCACTTAGGGGGATTTGCGTACGCCTAATAACATTTTATCGGGTATGCTAACATTACCTGCACAGGGAAAAAACTCTTGAAGACACATTCAAAGAATCTATGGGCAAGGTGTCAAAGTGTCTCATTTACCTAATTGCTTCAGCAAACAATGCTTACATATTATAAACTGTTGAACATAAGGTAGAGTTTAAGGTGTTGCTTAATCTTCATCAGGAAACGTAGGGCAACGGTTAAAAATGTAAAGCACAGTAAACTTATGTATGGCTTTTCTACCTCACATTCAATGTTCTCGCAAACATTTCCACTGGGGCTAAAGGACCTGGCGATCTGCTACCGAAAGTAAAATTATTTTTTATCCTTGGCCAAGCCTTTTTGAGATAGGGAGTATCCGAAGCGCGACTGCTCTCTTAATAGAAACTTTAGGTGGCTCTGAAAAGAGCCTTTTGTGTTACTTCCTTGGTAGAGTGTTGTCCCTATACAAATGCTTTACTTGCCCTTGGCTTTGTGGTGGCTTTCGGTCTTCTTAGGCAGCAGCACTGCCTGGATGTTCGGCAGGACGCCGCCCTGTGCGATGGTGACTTTGCCCAGCAGTTTGTTGAGCTCCTCATCGTTACGGATGGCCAGCTGCAAGTGGCGCGGGATGATACGCGTCTTTTTGTTGTCGCGGGCCGCGTTGCCCGCCAGCTCCAGGATCTCGGCCGTCAGGTACTCCAGCACCGCCGCCAGATACACGGGAGCGCCAGCGCCAACGCGCTCGGAGTAATTGCCCTTGCGGAGCAGGCGATGCACACGCCCCACAGGAAATTGCAGACCGGCTCTGGAAGACCGGGTCTTCGCCTTAGCGCGAGCTTTGCCACCTTGCTTTCCACGACCTGACATGATTGATTAATTAAGACAAAAAGTCTCCACGAAGAAGCCTGAAAGAATAGGTTACGGTGCCAGACAAGCGAAGTATTTATACTGATTGGAGGTATGCTGAGTGTACTTCTCCCATTGGCTACTGTTAAGTACCCAATAGAAAATCAGAACCTGCATCCTTCATTTGCACATAACCCTTCTTTCTAGTGTGAGGTTTATGTTTGATCCGACGAGTAATCCGAGTTGATTAGCCTTTACTTGAATACTAATAATTAATAACTGAAATAATTATGCTGTCATAAAATACCCTTCTTAAACGTAATCAGGAGTGGGGGGATTGCCACATTGTTCTGAACGTTGGCTACTGGTCCTTTATCCGGTTTCTGACTGTCAGTTTTGGAAAGGAATAGACTCAGAGAATTCCTAAATAAATAACAATTAAGAAGCACTTCTGTTCCAGATCTTGTTTTAACTCTTTTAAACCTCACAGCAATGGAAAAGAGAGAGCGAGAACAATTCAACTAAATGATTCTTTACCGTAGCCCAAGTCTCCTTAAATTAGGAACAAAACCATGAAGGGAAAGATTGCATGAGCCAGCCTATGACCTAAGACAGTAAGTCTATTTCACTCTCACATCTTACACATGATGCCTTCAGGATCACTTTGGAAGTACATACAGTGAGTATTATCCCCATTTTAGAGATTGTAAAACAGACCTAAAAGGTTATTTACCTTGTCCAAGGCAACACTGAGCTATGAGACACCAAGGACTCTCAAATACTTGCTGTAAAAGCCTTTCTCACCATTCCCCTATGCCATTCCCAACCCTCCTACCCCTTTCTCTTTTCTCACTTAGCTACAACACACCAGACTCTAGTTCTTTCAGAAAACTCCTCATCATCCTCCATAATGTACTGCACCCCTTCAGATTAGAGGGCTGACAACATTGAAGTACACAATTATAGTCAAGTGATTCTTTTAGGAAATGGAAGAATAACCCGTTCATTGCACACAAATTGAGATTATTGTATGTATTATAAAGCAGCGCACTAACAGAAGATATAATAGAGTTGTTACCTAGTCTTAAGCTCTCACATCCAGGAACATAAAATCAAGAGAGATTTCCAAGAGAAATTTTGTTGTTTTTCCTTTTACGGCCCGTGAGATAGAAGCAGATGGGGTCCTGGAGAAGGTGGAGAATTATTTCAGAAATTTCTGAGGTTTCATGCCTAAGGGCCTCCTTATTGCCAAACAGGATCGTAAAAGGAACAAGCACCCAGGTGTGAGAAAACCTGCTCCTAAGCCCTCTGTCACGGTACTATGGTTTGATCTAGGGAACCTGGCAAGAAAATAAAGTTGCTCAGTTTTTGTTTCTTTCTCTCTTACAAATCTTCTGACTCCTATGACTTTTTCTCTTAACAATATTCTACTTTCTTTAAAACAAACAAACAAACAAACAAAAATTATCTCCACCATCAACAGCAGCAATAAATATAGAAAGAAAAAAAAAAAAACACATTGCTGTCACGTGGATTTCTGAGTCATATATAGTGACCCTACAGGACAGAGTAGAACTGCCCCATAGGGTTACAAAGGAGTGGCAGGTGGATTCAAACTGCTGGCCTTTTGGTTAGCAGTTATATCTCTTAACCACTGCACCACCAGGGCTCCAAATACAGAAATGAAGGGCGATAATTAATAATTAGAAGGTCAAGAAAGAGTTCATGAGGGAGATATGCATCCAGTATTCATTTACTGTACAATAACTGAGCACGATAATGTTGCAGTGTATATAAAAACAAAAAAGCCAAAACCACTGACCATGAGTCAATTCCAACTCACAGTGACCCTATAGGACAGACTACAACTGCTTCATAACATGTCCAGGCTGTAATCTTTTCAGAAGCAGACTGTCACATCTTTCTCCAATGGAACAGCTAGTGGGTTCCAATCACTAACCCCTCTGTTAGCAGCCCAGCACTTAACCACTGCGCCACCAGGGCTCATTCACATTGTGTATAGCAGTGAACCAAGCAGATGACAACCTCTGTCCTACGGTGCTACCATTCCAGTAGGAGGAGGCACACAATAAGGCAAATGCATAATAAAAGTGTAAAATATATATATATATATTGGTGATGAATGGAGAAAAATAAAGCAAGGAAAAGCGACAAGGCAGGCAAGCAGGATGGACAGGGAAAGTGTCACCAAGAGGGAGTTATTTAAATTTAGACCTGAAGGACATGAAGAAGCTGGCCAAGTAGGTAGAATAAATATTTCATAAAAGGCCAAAAGTATTCAAAGCCAGTGGAATGTTAGGAGTCAAAAGCCAGAAGGTAGAACTGTTGTAATTTCCTGAAGAAACAACAAGCAGTGTTAATGGAATAGTAGAAATACACAGGGTTATATAAGGGAAAAAAAAAAAAAAAAGCTGAGATTAAGGGCTGCTTCAAAAACCCACGCCAAAAGGGGGAGAACAGACAGTCACACATCAAGAATCTATATTCCACTGGGTCATAGATAAAAATAAATGTACCGGTCACTTGATGTCACCCAAAGTCAGAATCATGAAGCACTTGGCATCTGATATGAATAGAAGAACTTAACCAAATCCTGTCAGCAAGTACCTCAAAACAAGTAAACACTGGACACTTGCCTTTGAAAAAAAATCTTGTGGAATACAGCTCTCGCAAGGAAGAAGACGAGGAATAATTTAGTCCATATAAAATGGAAGGAAGAGTAGTTGTTCCCCAATTATAACTCTAAGTCCAGGAATAGTGAAAGTGAGACAATCTGACCCCCACTGGTGTCTGTAAGGGGCCCTGATGGCACAGTGGTTAAGAGCTCAGGCTGCTAACCAAAAGGTTAGCAGTTCAAATCCACTAGCCGCCCCTTGGAAACCCTATGGGGCAGCTCTACTCTGTCCTATAGGGTCACTATGAGTTGGAATCAACTCAATAGCAATGGGTTTGGTTTTTGGTTTTGGTGTCTATGGGCTATGACAAAGAGTAAATACCTAGTCTTTGCTCAAATAAGTCATAGAAGTATAATTTAGTTTGAACACACTTGAGGAAAAACTAGCTAGAATTGAGGTAACTGTTAAGAAAGAGCTACTCAGAACACAAACCAGGTCGTGCAAGGTACCCAATCACTCACTGTATGTTGTGAGGTGGAAATATAAGGAAGGAGATGTACAAGCCTACCTTGAACCATGAAATGGGACAAATTCCAAGAAGTAGGTAAGGGGTGAAAACCAGGGTGAACAAATAAAAGAGATTCTCCTTTTGTATAAATGTGTAATTCCAAGCGTATGCTTTCAGATCTCTAACAAGATGAGAGCTATCCAAAACAGTGGCCACTAGCCACATGTGGCTACTGAGAACTTGGAATGTGGTAAGTCTGATATAAGATGTGCTATAATGTAAAATAGACTTCGTATGAAAAACAATGTAAAATATCTCATTGATAATTGTTCACATTAATTACATGTTGCAATAATACTTTGGCTATATAGGTTAAATAAAATATACTGTTGAGGCTACTAGAAAATTTAAAATGACGTACGTGGCTTGCAATATATTTCCAATGGCCAGCATTGGCTTAGAATGTTTTATTTTTACCTTCTCTCACAATATTTAAACAATTCTAAATACAGCCCTCTCTCCCACCAGTGTCCATATTCGTTTTTTGTTAACAAATCTGTAAGTAATATATTACGCACCTATTATGCACTTAGGAGCCCTAGTAACGCAGTGGTTAAAGTGCTCCACCAGTGACACGGTTCAAACCCACCAGCTGCTCTGCAGGAGAAAGATGTGGCAGTCTGCTTCCTTAAAGATTTACAGCCTTGGAAACCCTATGGGCCAGTTCTACTCTGTTCTATAGGGTTGCTACGAGTCAGAATCAACTCGACAGCAGTGAGTTTGGTTTCTTTGTTTTGTTTTTGTTTTTATTTTGCACTTGTGACTTTTGAGGGAGGATTCATGTTATGATCACAGAATCTTACTAGGCATCAGTCAGGACAGCCTTGGCTCCAGGTACTATTTGAGTTCCTGGGGAACAAGAATTTTTGCCTATTTTGTTCATTACTATATTCTTAGCACATAGAAAGGTGCCTAATACACAGGCTCTGAATACATGTTTGTTAAGGAGATGAATAGCTTCATAAATAAACCCAACCAAAGGTTGTTTGCACAATAAGGATATTTATTTCCTAGCATAACAAGATATCCAGAGCCTAGGAGATCTAGAGTTGGCTTGACTTGAAAACAATGTCATCATGATTCAGATTAGGCTCAGTGTGTTGCCTATGGCTAATGCTTGTCTCCTTACGGTTGGAACGTGACTGCCTTGGTGCCAGAAGTCAATGTAAACAAAACAGCATCCAGCTGAAGAAAGAGGGTATTTCCTCCCAGGTTTCTATTCTTACTAGGGAGAAGCAGGAACAGACAAGTTTAAAAGTGACATATAAGGAAAATAAGTTATTCCAGAAGTCAAACTAATTGGAAAGTAGATTACTGGAATTAGAAAGACATTCAGGCTGGAGTGGGAAATACATGAACAAAGAAGGTGGCAATGGATTGAAAAGAGGGCAAGGACAGGAAGGAGGAAAAGTTATTTTAAAGTAAGAACTTGCAAGATTTGATGACAGACAAACTACAGGGAATAAAGGATAAGGAAGGACTGACAACAATCTTCACAAAGATTTAAGACTATATTAATCTTAACAGAAGTGGGAATGAGAAAAGAAGAAATGTGAAGAGCAATATGATGGTCTGTTGTTCTATATGCTGAATTTGATGTGACAGCAAACTATACATCTGGATGTCTCTGGCTGTCAACCAGATGTGTGGACTTCAACCTTGGAAAGAACTGAAAACCTAAGACACAATTGTTCGTATCAATCCAATAGCTCAATTAAGTCTCACTGAGGCCCCTGAGAAAGACAGGCCAAGGAATGAAAGAGAAGACTCAAGGCAGGGCTGTGGCAGTATCATCCAAGCACCAGGAAAACATAGGAAAGAAATATTTAGTATGAGGAACTGTCAGAAAGAGAGGAGAAAGAAGAAGATCTAGAATGGAGAGATGTAAACAATGCCAAACATAGAAATATTCACTATTGTAAAATGGCAACAACTCTTACATTTATCTATACAGTTAATGTAATCTCAATCAAAGTCCCCAAAGTATTCTTTTGTAGAGTGTGGGTGAAGTGCACTGGGAGATGGTAGGAGGAATATGAGAAAGCAAAGTCATTTATTAATTATTACAAAGTTATTACAAAAAACAGCAATTGCATGTCCATGGTTCTGGAACTCCCATGAGGTTCCAAATGTGGTGTATGTTTATGTGTATGGAGGAGAAGAGGTCAGTTGTATAAGATGATCACAACATAGATAAACAAATATAAATTTTTAGTCAGTGTGTTCAAGACTAGACTCAGCTGAACACTGCAAGAATTAGAACCATAAATACTTTTGTTTTTATTCAGAGGAGCCACCTATTGTTTATCTTATAGACATTACAAAACACCAAATAAAGACAGGAGAAAATAGGAGCCCTCATTTTGAAATAGAAGCTTAAAAATGATAATACATTTTCCAAGATAGCTCAAGTGGACCTATTCCAGATCAGCTGGAATGTTGCATTCATCTGACAGAAATTCTAATAAAGCCAGTCAAGATGTTTACAGTACTTCAAAAGCCATTGTTAAAAAGAATACTCATTAAATCTTAGTTTCTTTGTGCTGCTGTAACATAATACCATTAGTGGGTGGTTTTAAAGAACAGAAATTTATTTTCTCACAGTTGAGGAAGCTAGAAGTTCAAATTCAGGGCACACTTCCAGGGGGATGTTCTTTCGCTATAGGCCCTGAGGGAATACTCTTGTCTCAGGTGTGTAACCCCTGAGTTCCTCAGTTCCTTGGTGTGAAAATGGCCTGGGGACAGCATCTAACCTCCTGTAAGTGGAAAGGGGAATCAAGATCAATAGCCCAAGGCTGATTCTTATAAGGCGGAGGTCAGGCATGCCTCCTCTCTTCGCCATCTTTACCAATTCTGACACCAACCATCTATCCCATGGTACTCTCTGCTTCTAGGCTGGGTTCAATAATTCATTGCAATGGCCACAAAGAACTCACAGACAACACTTACGATTATGTAGTTTATTAGGGAAGTAACAGGTTACAATTCAGGTTCAGGAACGCTCAGGATACAATTCTTCCATCAGGACAGCCTCTTCCCAGCCGTGCTCACAGGCACACCTCTCCCTGGCCCTCAGCCTCTGCCCAAAAGCACTCAGCCTTCTCGATCCATGGGCCAGGAAGCCCACCACGTCATCTCCTGCTGCTGGGTCTCACTGTCTTTGGTGTTACAGCTCTCTCTCTGTCTCCTGGTTCCAGGAGCTTCTCACTGCAGGGGTCCCAGGTCCAGAGGATTTGCTGGCTCTTCTTCCTTGGTGGTGGTGATATTCTCTCTCACCTCTGGCATGGCTCATTCATGCTCATTGGGATGGCAAAACTGACTAATCCCCTTGGAGGGCCACAATTACCCTATCTGCACAGTCCTGCCCATTCACCTGGGTGGGAGTTACAAGACCATGGCAAGAAAGGCCACACAAAAGTGATCCATCGCATCGTACTTGGTGATCCTCACGTGTTGCCATCTTCCCTAGTTTGTGGTGGCTTTCTGTATCTATGCTGCTCCCTATAATTCAGAAGTGATTACTTTCAGGACACATTCTATACTAAAAGGGCCTCATTAACATAACAAAGAAAACTGTATTCCCAAATGGGATGACATCCGTAGTCACTCGGGTTAGAATTCCAACACATATTTTTGGGGTACACAATTCAATCCTTACCACACACACATAACCCATTGCCATAAAGTCTATTCTGACTCATAGCTACCCTATAGGACAGAGTAAAACTGCCCCATAGGGTTTCCAAGGCTGTATTCTTTATGGAAGCTGACTGCCACACCCTTCCCCTGAGGAGTGGCTGGTGGGTTTGAATCGGCAACATTTCAGTAGCAGCGCTCATAACAATATCAAATTATATTTTCATTTATTGAATATAAAAGGCTATTCATACACAGAATGTGTTTTATGTGAAATTCATTCAAAAACAGTCGCCTTAAACTTTGCCTTTTTATATCATCTTGTATCATTATGCATTAGAAACAATGAATAAAAATTATTTCAAAAGCCTAAGAGCCAATTGTTTGACTTCTGATTCTGGACCAAGACGGAATACACTCCCCGCTATTTCCTTACCCTTTCCAGTTGCAGTCAAGTGCATTTGGACTCACGGTGACCACATGTGTTTCAGAGTAGAACTGCATCTCACAGGGTTTTCATGGCAGTGAAATTTCAGAAGTAGATCACCAGGTCTTTCTTCCGAGGGGCCTCTGGGTATGTTGGAACCACCAACCTTTTTGTTAGCAGCTGTGAATTTAACCATTTGTACCACTCAGGGACTCCTATTCCTTGCCCTAAGTACAGCTCAAAATCCTGGACATTTTATATGAAACGAAGGTAACAAGACTCTGAAAGGTGAAGAGAAATCAGACTGGCTAGGAACCTCAGGACAATGGGGTGGTGAGTTTTCTGTTTTCTTTTTCCTCATATATCCCTGATTGCATGCTGGAGAAGATGGCAACACGAAAATGTCAATGCCAGCAGACAAAATGTCCTAGATGATGGAATGTCAATTGACTTTTATTTATTTATTATTTACAATTATGTGTAGTTGTTATTACTATTCTTTAAAATAGTAAACAGGTATTATTTTTCCAGAGAGTTTAAAAAAAACTCATTTAGACACGTTGTTGTTGTTAGGTACCACTGAGTCGGTTCCAACTCATAGCAACCCAATGTGCAACAGAACAAAACACCTCTCGCTCCTGCGCCATCCTCACAATCTTTGTTATGCTTGAGCCCATTGTTACAGCCACTGTGTCAGTCTATCTCATTCAGGGTCTTCCTGTTTTTCCCTGACACTCTACTTTACCAAGCATGATGTCCTTCTCCAGGACTAGTCCCTCCTGATAACATGTCCAAAGTATGTGTGGCAAAGTCTCACCATCCTTTCTTCTAGGGAGCATTCTGGCTGTACTTCTTCCAAGACATATTTGTTTGTTTTTCTGGCAGTCCACGGTATATTCAATGTTCTTCGCCAACACCATAATTCAAAGGCATCAACTCTTCTTCGGTCTTCCTTATTCATTGTTCAGCTTTCGCATGCATGTGAGGCAATTGAAAATATCACAGATTGGATCAGGTGTACCTTAGTCCTCAAAGTGACATCTTTGCTTTTTAACACTGTAAAGATGTCTTTTGCAGCAGATTTGCCCAATGCAGTATGTAGTTTGTTTTCTTGACTGCCGCTTCCATGGGCATTGATGGTGTATCCAAGTACAATGAAATCTTCAACAATTTCAATCTTTTCTCCATTTTTCATGATGTTTCTTACTGGTCCAGTTGTCAGGATTTTTGTTTTCTTTATGTTGTGGTGTAATCCATACTGAAGGCTGTAGTCTTTGATCTTCATCAGGAAGTACTTCAAGTTCTCTTCACTTTCAGCAAGCAAGGATGTGTCACCCACATATCACAGATGGTTAATAAGTCTTCCTCCAATCCTGATGCCGTGTTCTTCTTCATATAGTCCAGCTTCTCGGATTTAGACATATATATCATTTAATGGAAACGAAAAGTGAGGAAAAACACACCAACTGTTTCTAAGAGATGCTGAAGACAGAACTGAGAACAGTCTGTGCACTTTCACCTGTCATGAAGCATGGGGCAGGGCTGTCCTTATCTCCTGACTGTCACCCCTTTTTTCTCAAATTGTAAGCTGTCTCTGACCCTCCTGTCATCTGTCTCTTTTTGGGCCTTTCTTCTCTTTTCTTAATTCTCAGTCACCCTACCCCCAAATAAAAATTCTCCCAAGTTCCCTCCATCTGGTTCTAGGCACACATATTTCAGCCAAGGGCATCTCATATTTTCCCTCTCTCTACAATTCAGCGCTTCCTTTCTTCAGGTCCTTTTTATTGGATAGGGTGGTAAGCTGAACTTTCTATGACCAAAAGCATTAGGAATGCAGTGTAAGTTATTTCTCTCTCTCTCTCTCTTTTTTTGGTCACCCTGTGTTGGAGGAATGGTCTAGCTCCCATCCAGGCTGCCTAAGTAAAGGCCTTGGGCCCAGAACAGTCTCTGATAAGGAGGCTGGGAATTGAGTCGCCTTCTCTCTGCCAGTTGCTTCTCCTTATCAGAGACGCCTTGCCCCTGTCCTGGGCACACAGTAATATTCTCATCTCCTGCATGTGTGCGAGCAACATAAGGCACCTAGCCAACTCCACTTTTGATTTGTTCACAGCAGGGAGGGAATGGGGGTCTCTCGTACTAGGTACTATGGCACAAGAGGGGTGAATGTAGAAAATCTGCCCTGCACTGACAATATGCGGGATGAGCTTGCTGGCCTTGGGATACCTGTGCCCGCTAATGAAGCTGATGTTGCTCTGTCTCTTCTGTATGTGAGTAAAGCATTTCCCATGCACTGGTAGAACGTGTGTGTGGTCTTTTGCTGGCAATTTTGGACCCTGCCTCAACACCCTGAGACTGCAGCTCTGGAGAAAATGTAGCTGCTTGTTTATTAGGAAAAGGGATATGTAAAGCCTTCTAGTATTTCCCTCAAGTTGATGGACTTGTCCACTGTCCTGGTTGTGTCCAGAGTTGGAGTCTCATCAGAATCAACTGACATTTTTAAATATGAAAATTTCTGGTTTCTCACTTCTCCCCCCTGTAGAGCCAGTGTCTACCAGCGAGCTCAGGCACCTGATATCTTTTTTTTTTTAATTCGCTTGTGAAGATCAGCCACATAAGAGTAGGAATGACAGAAAGGCTTAGCTTTGAGTTTAGGCCAAGGGTTTAGTTTGGGTTTGTCAACTAAGGGTATAGTTTTAGATAAAACATCAAATATTCTCATTTTATTATCTGAAAGAAGAGAGAAAAAATTAGAAAAGAATAAAAGAAGGCAAGCAGGCTAAAGTTATGAAGGACAAATTGTAGAGAAAATAATCCCTCCCTCAAGAGATTATTTTAAAGATGTGGAAAATGAAATGCTAAATAAGACTCTTGCCAATTTCATAACTCAGGAATATCTCTTGAAGGACCTGAGAACCATTTCTATGAAATGTAAATGTCAAAAAAGATAATGCTCCCATCTCCCAGTTTCCTGGGGGGAGATGAGCATGCCTTCAGGTGACACTTAGCTCCAAACTGCAAGCCTACCTCCAACCATAAAGATATGAGAAATTAGTAATTAATTATCTTGAGAACATGTATGCAATGGGTTGTGTTATGGATTGAATTGCATCCCCAAAAATGTGTATCATCTTGGTTAGGCCATGATTCCCAGTATTGTGTGATTGCCCACCATTTTCTGATCTTGTGTGATTATCCTATATGTTATAAATCCTAACCTCCATGATGTTAACGAGGCAGGATTAGAGGCAGTGATGTTAATGAGGCAGAACTCAATCTACAGGATTAGGTTGTATTTTTTTTTTTTTTTAATTGTTGTAATTAAATGAAGTTTACATTTCAAGTTAGTCTCCTATACAGAAATTTGTTTTTTCCTTTTTACATACATTGTCATGAGACCCCAACCACTCACTCCATTCTGCGACAGCACACTCCTCCCCTCCGCCCCTGATTCCCCATGAACATTCAATCAGCTCCTAACTCTCTCTGCCTTCCCATCTCACCTCTGGACAGAAGCTGCCCCCTTGGTCTCTTGTATCTACTTGACTAAGAGTCACATTCTTCACAAGTATCACTTTATATCCCACAGTCCAGTCCAATCCGTGTCTGAAGAATTGGCCTCGGAAATTGTTTTAGTTCTGGGGTGATAGAGAGTCCAGGGGCCATGCTTTCTGCGGTGCCTCCAGTCTCAGTCAGACCATTAAGTCTGGTCTTCTTACTAGAATTTGAGTTCTGCATCCCATTGTTCTACTGCTCCATCAGGGAGCCTCTGTTGTGTTCCCTGTCAGGACGTTCATTGGTGGTGGCCAGGCACCATCTAGTTCTTCTGGTCTCAGGCTGATGAAGTCTCTGGTTTATGTGGCCCATTCTGTCTCTTGGGCTAATACTTTCCTTGTGTCTTTGGTGTTCTTCGTTCTCCTTTACTCCAAGTGGTTGGGACTACCTGATGCATCTTAGATGGCCGAGGATTAGGTTGTATTTTGAGTCAATCTCTTTTGAGATATAAAAGAGAGAATTGAGCAGAGAGGAGTGGGACCTCAAGCCACCAAGAAAGAAGCACAGGGAGCAGAGTGCTTCCTTTGGACCCCGGGTACCTGTGCTGAGAAGCTCCTAGACCAGGGGAAGATCGATGACGAGGATCTTTCACCAGAGCCAACAGAAAGAGAACGCCTTCTCCTAGAGCTGGTGCCCTGAATTTGGACTTCTAGCCTCCTAAACTGTGAGAGAATAAATTTCTCTTTGTTAGAGCCATCCACTTGTGGTATTTCTATTTTAGTAGCCCTAGATAACTAAGATGGGTTGTATCCACTTAGTTACATAGTAAAGTGAGATTTCTTTCTGTCTTTGCAATATTTAAAGCACATTGCCTGTGAAACATCACATTCTGGTTTAATGCTATTCAATAATAAAACTGCGTTCTTTCTCTTCCAACTTTGTGGAGAAATTTACTGGGTTTGGAGGGCGGGTAGCTATTGTTACAGTGTAAAAAAAAAAAGCATTATCCATTTTTAAGACAAATGTCTCATTCACATTTTGCATACACTGGGATAGGAAGTGCTTCTCACACTGAGGCTGACATCTTGCCTGGGATACTGGAGAAGGTAACTTTTATTTTCCTTTAAGAGGTCCTGTTTGAGAAATTCCACTTTAAATTTTGTTTCATTCTCCAAAGAGACTGCTATATGTCACCTACGTAAAAGGCTACTAAACGGACTGAAAATATTTTTCTTTTTAATTGACGGCTGTCTCTTCTGTCTTCCTACCTCTCCCATAACCCCGCAGCCAAAATCGGTACTTTTGGACTTTCAGATTCTTGCAAAAAGGCCTACAAAGAAAAACTGGCAGTCGGCCCCTCCAACTGACATCCTCCCAGTCAGCCACAAGGTGACGCCAGATAGGAACAAGAGGGAAATTCAAACCCTTTGTCTTCCCAGAGCTCTAGCCACCACTCCTGACCCTTTCTGGTGACAAGCCCGTTAGCAATACATGAAATGAGGTACGGATTTCTTGTATACAGTAAAAACTTAAACGGCTGTAGAATGGCAAAGAGGACGAGTAGACGCTACAGAATTACCCAGGAAAACCACTGGAGTTTTCCTTACGTGTTTCCCCAATGCACGCAGCTACATGTGACATCTTGAGTTCAAGTTTCCGGTAAAAAGACCCCACATCCTCCTCCCTCTCGCCCCCGGGCAATTAACAGCAGGCTAGCCACACCCTCAGCGGGTTCTTAACCGCAGAAACCCCGCGGAAATGCCATTATTCTCCAGGAAACTTCCAACCACCATTCCGAAAACGCTGGGACCCGGGAGGGGAGGAGTGAGCGTTTCCAAGAATAGTCGAACGAGTGCCCAGAGTATTACACTGAACAATGAGAACGTGGGTTTCTAGTAAAAGTATAAAACAGCTTTTTCTTTGAAGCTTGGGGCCGCAAAAAATAGCTTTCATTTCTAACTTCACTCCTAACTACCTCAGCTTTACCCCCTTGGCCAAAACTATTGCAGGTACAGCTCTCAATCCGAGAAAGTAGGTGGCTCTGAAAAGAGCCTTTGGATTAGAAATAGCCTATACACGCACGTTTACTTGGAGCTTGTGTACTTGGTGACGGCCTTGGTGCCCTCGGACACAGCGTGCTTGGCCAACTCCCCGGGCAGCAGCAGGCGCACGGCCGTTTGGATTTCCCTGGAGGTAATGGTAGAGCGCTTGTTGTAGTGCGCCAGGCGAGACGCCTCACCAGCAATGCGCTCGAAGATGTCGTTGACGAAGGAATTCATAATGCCCATTGCCTTGGATGAGATTCCGGTGTCAGGGTGGACCTGCTTCAGCACCTTATACACGTAGATGGAATAGCTCTCCTTGCGGCTGCGCTTACGCTTCTTGCCATCCTTCTTCTGCGCCTTGGTTATGGCTTTCTTGGACCCCTTTTTAGGAGCCGGAGCAGATTTCGAAGGCTCAGGCATAATTTCTCCCGAAAAAGTTACGACTTCTTTGACAGATTCACCACCAGTACAGTTAGAAAAGATCCCCGAACCCTTTCTTTATAGTTCTGTAATTCAAATGAGGGATTACGAACTCTCACCCCTGATTGGATAATGGTACACTGTCGCCAAGTGGGAGTGTTTATGCAAATAAGCGATACACAGTTTCTTGTTCTATTGGACAAAACAATCCAATCTAATTTAGCCAATGAGATAGCCAACGGTCATAGCCCTGCACTAACTATAAATATTTTTCTTCACCCTAAAAGGCCTTCAGCTTGCACGTTGGTGTTATCTTAAAGCATTATGTCTGGACGCGGAAAGCAGGGCGGCAAGGCTCGCGCGAAGGCCAAGACTCGATCTTCCCGGGCCGGCTTGCAGTTCCCGGTGGGCAGAGTGCACCGCCTACTTCGCAAGGGGAACTACTCTGAGCGGGTCGGGGCCGGCGCTCCAGTGTACCTGGCCGCGGTGTTGGAGTATTTGACCGCTGAGATCTTGGAGCTGGCGGGCAACGCAGCCCGCGACAACAAGAAGACGCGTATCATCCCGCGCCACTTGCAGCTGGCCATCCGCAACGACGAAGAGCTCAACAAACTGTTGGGCAAAGTCACCATCGCGCAGGGCGGCGTCCTGCCCAACATCCAGGCCGTGCTGCTGCCCAAGAAGACAGAGAGCCACCACAAGGCCAAGGGCAAGTGAAGCCCACGAATAAACAGAAGTAATACATACACTTGTTCTCAATTACACACAAAAGGCTCTTTTCAGAGCCATCTACATTTTCAAAAGAGAAGCTGATAACTCGATGAACGTTTATATTCCTTCCCTTCAGTGTATAATATTTTACGATATAACATCAGCTTTGTGTCTGTCGTAACTTATAAAACGCAAACACTAGTTTGAAGAGTTCCAGGAAAGTAGATCGTTCTCTTAAGAGGAAATTTCAAAACCAAAACAAGGTATTTAGAAAACACGCGGGGCCGAGAGAGTGTTGGGGGGAAGTAAGTCAGGCTTGGAAAACGAAGCAAGGAGATTAGATTCGCCATTAGCCAATTGTAAAGCAGCGGGAGCTTCTCAATTTCTGAATCTAGAAAAACCATTTTGTCCAGTGAACCAGTGAACACGTGTTGCCATCCTGTGTGTACCCGGCACCCATGAAACGGTAGCTTTAACCCCTTTGCCAGATACTCCACCCAGATCCTTTGCCACGTAGATCACAAAGGTTTCGTAGACCAGAGCTTGGAAGTGACCCACAAAACTGTACTTAGCTAGTATTGACGTAACTCGCGAGCGTGTTACGGATTCGGAATCTCAGGTCCCACTCAGACTTAAGGAATCAGAATTTACATTTTAACAAGATACCTAAATGGTTCCTCAGGCACACAGTACTTGGCTGAACTAGACCTTTAGAAATTTAATCCCCTCAAAATATCTCAGAATAACAAAAAGTATCCAGGGAGATGCGGTGGAGGAGTTCATCCAATCACAGTCTGTGATTATTAACCAAGCACCAATCGGTCATCAACCAATGGATTTATGGCGCGGGACTTTTGAAAACGCATAAGGCCAATCAGAATGCTTCAAACTGTATTTAAAGACAATTTTACCACTGCTCCGCAACAGACTTTTGGTTTGTTTTCAGTTGTGTCGTAATGGCTCGTACCAAGCAGACAGCTCGCAAGTCCACCGGCGGCAAGGCGCCGCGCAAGCAGCTGGCCACCAAGGCGGCCCGCAAGAGCGCGCCCGCCACCGGCGGCGTGAAGAAGCCGCATCGTTACCGGCCCGGCACCGTGGCGCTGCGCGAGATCCGGCGCTACCAGAAGTCCACCGAGCTGCTCATCCGCAAGCTGCCATTCCAGCGGCTGGTCCGCGAGATAGCGCAGGACTTCAAGACCGACCTGCGCTTCCAGAGCTCGGCCGTGATGGCGCTGCAGGAGGCGTGCGAGGCCTATCTGGTGGGGCTCTTTGAGGACACTAATCTGTGCGCCATCCACGCCAAGCGTGTCACCATCATGCCCAAAGACATCCAGCTTGCGCGTCGCATCCGCGGGGAGAGGGCGTAAATCATGGCCGTCTCCTTTGAATTGAAAAAAGGCTCTTTTCAGAGCCAACTACAATTTCACTTAAAAGTAGTTGTACTCTTATTAACTACCCATTTTACTTATTTTTTGCCTGTATGTAAACTGCGATAAGACGTTTGAAGGAACTTGGGTCAAAGATAACTTTCTAAGAGGCCCCTGACTGTTCAAAACTAAGATTTTAATACTGATGCGGTCTTGATGGGCTAGATAGGTTGGGACACCTTAGGGCTTCCAGGTTTACAATTTGGTGACCCTTTTAAAAAATACAGAACTACGAATACAAAATGAGGTTACAGTGGCTATTTCTCTATAATTGAAAAATCGCATTCCAGTTTTATAAAAACAAAACTAACCACAAAATTCAGAAAAAAGCATTTGTTTATGAATACATGCAATGTTTTACTATATTTTTGCCTGCATACTCTGATTACATCTTCAAAATTATTTTGTATCTTCTACAGACAGTGGGAAGATAATATTTCCTCTGGCATGTTTGGTGACAATTTCTTTTATGTTATTGATAATTTAGAATTTCTTTCAGTTTTAAAACATTATTGGATGTCTAGTAACTTTTCAGGATTTTTTTTTTCAATTTAGGAAACTATCAAGCTTCTTTAACACGTGAGTGGAAAAAATCGGAAGAACTTCACGAATTAGCTGCTGGCTAAATATATTTTAAATCTTAATTCTCCTGTGCACCACGCATTCACTCCGGGGGGGGGGGGGGCTATAGATATGTGGATGTCTTGATATGACATCTTGCCCTACATCATCTTGTGAGGATTCCAGGTGTTGTCCCAGTAAGCAGTAGTTTTCTTTGAAGCCATTCTTTTGTCAGCTTGGTTAACAAAAACTGAGCTATATATCAGCACACCTATAAATCACATAACACTGCATTAGCCCCAAACTAAAATATATCTCCAACTAAATTTTCTCTTACCCAAATCCCAAATATACTCACCAGTGTTCCAATATAATCAGACACAAGGTGAATTGTAATGGAAAGGAGATTGAGTGGAAATAAGCAACCATCATAAACAACTATAAGCAAAATATCTTAATATTATGAAATTAAAAACAAACCAAAACCCATAAAACTGAGTAAACACACTACTGAGGCCTATGCCAGGGCCTTGAAATTGCTGAGTCTGGTGCTTAAATGCCATTAGCTTCCGCAAATCTGACTCTGAGAATTGGCTATGCTTTTCAAAATTACTGGGTTTTCTCTGCCTCCTGCCAGTCTGTTCCAATACACTTCAATGTGAGCACCCTAGGAATTAAGTATCTCTAGTCTGAGATATCTGTGTAGTCGTAGCTGAGTGATCAAGGCAATGGACTAAAAATCCATTGGGATTTCTCCTTGCTGGTTCGGTTCCTGCCGACTACGCACATTTTTGGAGCCCTGGTGGCGCAGTGGTTAAGAGCTTGGGTGCTAACCAATAGGCGGCAGTTCGAAGCCACCAGCCGCTCTTTGGAAACCCTATGGGGCAGTTCTACTCTGTCCCGTAGGGTCACTATGAGTCGGAATCCACTCGATGGCAACGGATTTGGTTTGTTTTCTTTTGTTCATATCATTGCTTTGCATGATGCTTTGGATTGTGGTACCATTCTCAGAGAGAGATACCAGGAGGAGAAGCTTACTGAGGAGGATATAAGGTCAACTCTGAGCAATCTGAACTCTTTTCATTGCTAAAGTGAATTGCCTGGGACAATAACTTTGCAGGGTTTTATAGATTCATTCTGTCCTGAAAATGACCTTCCTTTATAAAGATCCCCATAAAAGTAAGAGACAATAAAAAGATGGATTCATTAGAGGAGTCTGTATGGTAGCTCTAACGTTGATAGTTTTCCATGGGTCAAGTGCCACCTGAAGCGCTTGGCCTGAATTATTATGTATAATCCTTACTACGCACTGTATAAAGCCCTGGTGGCAAATTCTCTCACCGTATCCATTTTATAGAGGAGGAACTTCAGCCTAACAGATTTCAGTTAATTGGCCAGTCATCCGACTAGCAAATATCATTGCTAGGATTTAATCCCAGGCAGTCTCACTCCATACCCCCACTCTTAATATCTTCTAATCAATAAGATTACCCAAACATGGATGATCAGATCTAGAGTTTCAGCCTCAAGGGTAACTCTGTTTTAGAAATGGAACTACACTCCATCTGGCTGGTCAGGGTAGATGGGGATGGGCTATGAGGACTTTGTTGTTAGTTACCAGCCAGTGATTCCAACTCATAGTGACCCCATGTGTCACAGAGCAGAACTGCTCCATAGGATTTTCTTGGCTGTAGTCTTAAAAGAAGCAGATCGCTAGGACTTTTCTTCTATGAGTGGGTTCAAACTGCCAACTTTTAGATTAATAGCTGAGAGCAAACCATTTGCCTGGTGGTGTAGCCTAGACGAAATCCTGTTGTGTGGCCAGAGACCTGGTGTGAACTGAAGTGGGTAGAGTGTGCAGATGAGACACCCGGTGTTAGGGATGCTCCTTGGACTTCAGAACAAAACCAAACAAACCAAACCTGCCGTCGAGTAAATTCCGAGTCACAGCGACCCTATAGGACAGAGTAGAACTGCCACATAGGGTTTCCAAGGACTGACTGGTGGATTCAAACTGCTGACGTTTTGGTTAGCAGCCAAATGTTTAACCACTGCACCACCAGGGCTCCAAGGACTTGAGGTCAAGGGCAGAATAATTGTTTCCCTAGAAACTTCGAGATTCTGCTCCAGAGCAAATATACTTGTTTATTTACTACTGAGTTGGGCTGTCCAAGACACTAGACATGTGTGGCTATTAAGCATTTGAAACGTGGCTAGTCCAAATTAAGATGCACTTTAAGTATAAAATACATACCAGATCATGAAGATTTAGCATCAAAAAAAACCCCCAACTCATTAATATTTTATACTGATAACATATTAAGATTATAATATTATGACTAAAGTGGACTAAATCAGTTTTTTTGCTTCTTGTTTTAGTTTTTTAAATGTGGCTACTAAAAAATTTTAAATTATATATGTGACTGTCCTTATTTTTCTATATAAGGGGATATATTTTATATATATTCTATGTATATCTCCACTCAGCGGGAGAAAGATGTGGCAGTCAGCTTCCCTAGAGCCTTGAACCCTTAGAAACCCTATGGGACAGTTATACTCTGTCCTATAGGGTCACTATCAGTCAGAATCAACTCAACAGCAATGGGTTTGGTTCTTTGGTAATGACAGCTATTTCAAAGTGCTGTGACAAGAAAATGTATGAAAATAAATGTAGAGTGTTCAGCAACAGTGTTTGGCATATTGTAAGTGCTCAAGAAATGTTAGCTGTTGTCACTGTTCCCTAAATCCCTATTACCTTCTGAAATCCTCTAATGATGTAATCCTGTCTTACTCTGGTCCTGTTCAACTCTGGCGTGGATTTCAACCACAAAGTCACATTCTACGTTTCCTCAGGCAAAGCAGAAAAACCTGGAGCTTTGCCTGGGGAGGTAATAGGACATTTAAATTGTCAACAATGAAGCACTATGTATATACAAAGAAAAAAAAATCGCAATAATGCATTACAAGTAACCCTAAATTTCTGCATTATCCACACTTCTATCATACATGGACAATTAGAACAATTAGTACACTATAAACAAGCATTTTTGGGGTTAAATTATCAGTCAGCAGTTTAGTTTATGCAGCATTCATTGCCATTTTTGGCTATCTAGCAGTGTTTGGCCAATTCTTTAAATATATTTTTGCCATTGTTAATATGTTTTATAAAACTGATTGAAAATGACAAAAATTAACACTGTCAAAATAAAGTATAGGTTTTATAAATTAAATAAAATTGAGACAAGAATCAGTTGTACTTTTTTCTAAGTAGCCCAGTTTTAGGTTCAATTTAGTGGCTCTTTGGATCTAAGCCAGTTAAGTTTGAGAACTATTGTAAGTGAATGGAACAAAATTAAAGAACATGGACAAAATTGAGAAAAAAATTGTTCAAGATTATATCTAAAGAATAGGTAAGTCTAGAGATTTTTATAATGATTTTTAGCTCTCTGTGAATGAACTCTCTCCCGTTGCCCTATAGGACACAGTAGAACTGCCCCATAGGGTTGCCAAGGGGCAGCTGGTGGGTTCAAACTGCCCACCTTTTGGATGGCAGCCACGCTCTTAACCACTGCACCACCAGGGCGCCTATGAATATGTATGTATACATATATGTATGTGTATGCACATGTATATGTATTTGTTTCTGAAGAGTACACTTCATTTGAAAGGGACATCTTACATCTAAAGTAAACATGTTTCCAGGAGACATTCAATGTTAGAATCAACTGAAAATATATAAACCCAACAGATTTTGAGACCCCAACCTCTTGGGCATTCATAAGAGATTTGCAGGAAAATTAGAGGATTGACTCTCTTTGCTTAGGTTGATTATTCCTCTGCCTAACTCATAGTGTTGATGTGAAGATCAAGTAAATGGATGAACTTGAAAGTATTTGAAAAAGTAAAGGGACGTAAGAAGTGCGTGGTGCCATTGTTATAATCACTAATTATGATTATGTTTGGAGTGTCATAATGAGGTCATCTGGTGCTGCAACTTGACCCAACCTAAGTGAGATGGCCCCAAACCTTGGAGTAAGAGTTGAGAGTGCTCAAAGAACTAGAAACTCAGGAGATGTCAGGAACCTCGACAGTCCAGCTTCTCATTTCTGCTTTTCTTATTTTTATTTTTGCACTTTTGCTCCATTCTACTCTTTTTATCCATCAGATCTCTTGATTTCTCCTGTGTGGTGTCTAAGAAGGCAGTTTTCAGCTCTGAGAATAAGCTACCTGAATTTATGTAACTTAATTGTATTATTTAACAGAAAATTTGATTGACTCAAGTTGGTCCAATGACCTCTGTCTGGACCAATCAACCATTGTTTAAGGTCAGACACTCCTCCTCTCTGAAATTTTTGTACACAAAAGATGGTTTATATTGGGAAACATTGACTTTCAAGCTTTAGGCCAAAGATGAGGTCAGAGAAGACCAGCATATTTGAGATCAGAGAGCATTTTAGAGTTGCATGCTCTTGTGGTGGCCACAAGCCACAGGTGATTAACTCAGAACTTGAAATGGGCTAGTGAAAATTGAGATGTGCTGTAAGTGTAAAATACACACCTTATACCAAAGACTTAGTACACGAATAATAAAAGTAAAATGTCTCATAAATAATTTTTACCTTAATTTTATGTTTGAAATGATACTATACATACTGGGTTAAATAGATAACATTATTGAAATTGATACCGATTTCATCTTTTCTGTCCTTTCTTTTGTGGCTTCTGAACGGCTTAAAATTACATATATAGCTTGCATTTGTGCTCACTGTAAATAGCTATGGAAAGAACTTTTCTACAGATTGTTAATTCATAACTGAGGATCTTTGATGTACACTTTATGGGATGCTGGACCTCAAGGAATCTAAAATTATCCTATTTCCACTTCCAACAACAATAAAGGAGATAAAATATGTAGTAAGAAAGATGAAGATTTATTTGAGAAAATTTAAAACTCTCCTAACAAATACAAAAATACATGAACAAATGGGAAAATATAAAATGTTCTTGAATAGGAAAATCAGCATCATAAATGTGTTGGTTTTCCCCAAATTAATTTATAAATTTAACATAATTCCAACAAAACTAGAGTATTGAGGGTTTTTATGTATGATGGGGGTAAGAAGTGAAGGCAACATAAAGTACATATGGAAAAATAAAATTAATAAACAATAAATAGAATAACAAGGAAAACTCTGAAAAATAGCAATGAGAGGTGACTGATCTTATCAACTATTGAAAACATATTATAACGTCTGTTATTCCATCATTATTTGAGTAGCTACTACAAGTCATGTATTCTCAGCAATGAAGGTAACACTGTAAACAGTACTTAAAACAGGGTAGTCACACTTTAGGAATGGCCAGAGAAACCAAAGGAACAGAATAGAGACCTGAGACTCAGTCTACCTGTCCATGGAATTTAGCCTGTGAGAAAGGTGGCATCTCAAATGGGGAAGGGGTGGTGGCAGAGATAGAAGAATTTATAAATGATCGGGGGCGGGGGTGATGGATCCGTATATTAAACTTTACACTAAAATACAGAAAACTGTTACTTTAAATGTAAAATTAATAACACAAAATTACTAAAAGAAAGCATAAGAGTTTTTTTAAAAGTATTGTGACAATAAAGAGGTATTTCTTATTTATGATTTTAAAAAAGTATTAAAATGTCTGAATTCATGTGCAGTGGGTGGTTAGGTAAACTCCAAGGTCAGAACCACCGCTATAATGGGGGAATTAACGCACACTAGATTCGTCGTTGGGGCAATGGGTAAAGAACTGAGTTTCAGGTCTCCAGACCCCCTGTCCCCAGACATTGGGTCTCAAGAAAATGCGTGTCCACCAGAATAAAAAGCAGAACTACACTTTCCTTATCTAGGAGAAAAGTCGTGTATATGAAAAGAATCCACAGCCTTGCTAACGAAAACTAAAGGCCTTTATCAGACATCCCTCTGCCCATGCATACGTTTTCAATAGTTAACCAATAACTTAGGCGTTGAAACATTTGGACTGCACAAAAATGCTCTTAAAGCAACCTCAATTTTCAGATATTGAAGCCTGTATTTAAAGTGTGGATCGGAGACCAGCCTGACACGACAAAATGGCCGCTTAAAAGTTCTGTTTTTGATACAAACAAATCCACTACACTATGGCAAAAGCTGCACGATACCAGGAACAGAAAGATCAAGAGTCCAGCCTCGCCCTGGTGGAAGGTTGCTGCTGCCGTAGCTGCTATTTTAATCCTTTGTTGCTACCACAAAGGAGAATTAGCAGAGAAATGCAAGAGCCCTTGAGCACATCGTTTAAGTGCTCGGCTGCTAACAGAAACGGCGGTTGGTTCGAACTCACCAGCCGCTCCACCCGAGAATACGTGGCAGTCAGCTTCCGTAAAGATTACAGCCTTGGAAATCCTATGAAGCTTGGAAATCCCTGTCCTACAGAATCGCTGAGTCGGAATCGACTCGACCGCAGAGGTTTTTGGTTTGGCAAAACAAAGGCGCCTCCACCCACTCTTCCTAGGGTTAGATGTTACCAATGCCCCAGGGAGACACCGTCTAGACTTTCAAGAACATGGAAATACCTGACACATTTCTGAAACAAATGCAAAGCGTAGACTCTAAACCTAAATGAAGCAAAACAGACTGGACAGGAGGCCTATTATCCAATTAAATTCAGGATTAAAATCAGGGGCTAGAGTTGTGGGCCAACCCGTGCGCAGAGCGGGACTTTTGAATGATTTTTCAGTCCAATCGGGATTCCCTTAAGACTAAAGCAGTAGCTTTTCTTGTTAATTCTGGTTGTTTTCCTTTTCACTGGCGTGGGGCGGGGCTGGCGGATATCCCAAGTACACTAGCAGCAGCCGAGCCTTGGAACAGCTGACCAAGAAGCCAACCAAGAGCGCAATAGGGAAAAGCCGTAGAGAAGGTCTTGGCCGTCACTCAGTCCTCTTCACCCCACCATCCCAGCCTACCAACAAGCCTGGGGAAGAGAAAGGTAAAAGAGGATTTAGCAACATCCGGCAAGCGTGCCTTGGGCTCAGAGAGCCCTATCAAGCAGAGTAATAAATGTTAAGCTCTTTTTCTGAAATCTGTGGTGGCTCTGAAAAGAGCCTTTTGGGTTTTGGAAGCAGGCATTCGCAAACAACCTACTTCTTCTTGGGTGCAGCCTTTTTAGGCTTGGCAACCTTGGGCTTGGCTGCCTTGGGTTTCACCGCCTTAGCTGCACTCTTGGCGGCCTTCTTGTGCTTAGCAGCTTTGGCCTTCTTTGGACTCTTGGCCACTTTTTTGGCCACAGCAGCAGCCGCTGGCTTCTTAGCCTTCTTCGGGGTCTTCTTGGCACTCTTCTTTGGGGTGGCCGCCCCTGTCGCCTTCTTGGGCTTCTTGGCTGCCCCGGCGGGCTTCTTCGCTTTGGCGGCTCCAGCCTTCTTGACTTTAGGCTTGACTTCCCCAGAAGCTGCTTTCTTGTTGAGTTTGAAGGAGCCCGATGCGCCGGTACCCTTAGTCTGTACGAGAGTACCCTTGCTCACTAGGCTCTTGAGACCCAGTTTGATACGGCTGTTGTTCTTCTCCACATCATAGCCAGCGGCTGCCAGCGCCTTCTTGAGCGCGGCCAGGGACACACCGCTGCGCTCCTTGGAGGCGGCCACCGCTTTGGTGATGAGCTCGGATACCGGTGGACCGGACGCCTTGCGGCGCGCCCCCGCAGGCTTTTTGGCAGCCTTCTTCTTCACCGGGGTCTTCTCCACCGGGGGGGCGGCAGCAGGGGGAGCTGGAGCAGTCTCCGACATAATGAAGATGTAAGACTCGGGGACAAGTAGCACCGAGTCGATGGAGAAACGCCCGGCCGAGACTGCCGTATATATAGAGCGCAGGCGCGCGCTGATTGGTGCTCCGGGCGCCCGCCTGGCTGGCAGGCTCGGAGCCACCGCGATGCGCTCAAGTTGTGTTTGTTCCACCTCACAAAAGGGGGAAAATATAAAAATGCCCTGCACCAAATCATCCGGGTTTGGTCGAGAAAGGATCCGAGAAGCCTTAGGCTTCGTGCTCTCCAGTTTTTTTCTCCGCAGCCACAAACATAACGCTTCCAGGGGTCCCCAATTCCCCCAACTCTGTGCGAAGTCCAGGGCAGTCGGAGACCACTTTCTGTTTTTCTTCTAAATTACCTGTTCACTCCTTTGCCCCTGAAAGTTCTTTTTCCCAGGAGTGGTTGGGTACATGCTTCCCTTCTTCTAGGGACAAAAACAGAATGGTTTCCACCTAAAGTTTCACGATAATTTTGTTTCTTCGTAAGGGAAGTAACACAGGTCCTCTGTGAATTCTGCTTACAGACTCACAGGAACGGTGGACTGGGACAAGGATTCCGGGACCAGTCCAAAGCAATTAGGGTAGGATGGGAGAGGGTACATAAGCCTTGGGGGGTGGTCATTGATGGTGGTGGGTTAGAGACTTAAATCTTTGACTCGAAGACATGTAAACTCTGTCAAATCTGTCTTTTCATACATGGGGGCGGGGCAGCCTTTTCACTTCTCCAAAGGCGAAAAATTGGGAGGTTTATAAAAGGCTCTCAGGGTCCCTTCTGGCCTGTGCAAGACAGGGATTCTGGCCCTCAAGAATAGGGATAATAAGAAAAGAAGGGAGACCCTCCCCCTCACCCCCCAAGCCTGCAAAGAATCCCCAACAGACTTGGCACTAGGGGTATTGAAATATCTGTTTCCAAAGTAAGAAGTATTTATTTACTTTAGTATACTGAAATACAGAAATGGATTTCAGCCCATGAACATTCTAGATTACTTCCAGTAACAATATGTTACACATGTCATAGTATAGAAGAACACTTTCTACCTGGGAACTCAAAGATATAGATAGAAATAAAGCTACTGACGTTCATAAAGCATACTTTTGACTTGTAAAATGTACCATAGATTGGAACTAGAAAAACATAGATACAAAGTTTTAAACAGAAATAGAGGAAAAGTAGTAGAAGATATAAACAGTTATACCGTCTCTTGTTGATGAGACTAATGTTACCTCTTCTCATTCTCTCTAAAGCTGAACATCTGTATTCTATTCTGAAGTTTCCTTTGCTGCTCTAGGTTTGCTGCTTCATATTTTGCCTTTACATCACAAGCGACTGCAAATTTTTCCTTGAGAGAAAAGATTGAGTAAACATACTCATGTATTTAATATAATTACATATTTATGTTTAGAGACAAAGGAAATATTACATCTCACCAGAAATTCCTGCTCAAATACATGTCTACAGAAGAAAATATGGCTTAAAGATGTTGGTCTTAGATTGTGATAAGGTCAAAAGGGGCTTTATAAATTAAGGTCAGTGATAAATCAAAAACGGGACATCTTCTCTTAAACTAATCCCATGGTTTCATTGAATAACATTCATTCAACATTTGAAAACAGCCTTCTGGGAATTAGTGACCTAATAAGATTAGTGATGGATGAATTAGCAGTCTTAAAAAACCACCTTAGACTGGCTATCCATTAGTGTATTAGACATACTTTTCCATTAGGAATTGTAAGACATTATTCAAAGTGTACAAATAACTGAAGCACCTTCATCATACTAATATACTTTGCTAAAAAAATTAAAAAATAAAAAAGTACATACCACTTTGCTCTGCTCCTATGTGTAATAAGCACCCTTCTCATGAAATTTAGCTAAATTATCCATCAGGAAACTAGCTGAGTGGAGCCTTGATTGCTAGGTCACTGGATCTCTCTTCACTATAAATTGGAGTCCCAGTTTATAAATCATCAGCATGTAAATCAATCAGATTGCATCTCTCTACATGCAAGTTTGAAGATCAGACTTCAAGTCATCAGGACAGCTAACTAAACCAAATCAAACCAGTTGTTTGTTCAGTCAATTCCGACCCGTGGCAATCCCATGTGTGTTAGAGTAAAAACTGTGCTCCATAGGGTTTTCCATGGCTGACTTTTCTGAAGTAGATCACCAGGCCTTTCTTCTGAGGTGCTTCAGAGTGGGCTCAAACCTTTAGCCTTTCAGTTAGCAGCCAAGCATGTTAACCATTTGCACCATCCAGAGGTTCAAACTCTTCTCCAGATCCCTTTAGTTTGTGCTGAGAAAGGCTATCCAAAACTTATTCAAAACTTAGAAACAAGACAAAAATACTACTGCATGTCTTTTGAAGTTGTATTAGATTATTGTCTAAAAATTCCACTTACAATTTACCTGATGCTCTAGGGCAGCACTATACAATAAAATAGAATGTGAGTCACATACATAATTTTTAATTTTCTAGTAGTCACATTGAAAAAACTAAAAAGAAGGAGGTGAACTTAATTGTAATATTTAACTTAATACTATATCCAAAATATTATAACTTCAATATATAATCACTATTTTCAAAAATTGTTTTACATTTTTTTTAATGCTACATCTTTTAAATCTAATGTACGTTTTACATTTACAGAACATTTCAATTCAAACTAGCCACATTTCAAGTTCTCAGTGGTCCCATGTGGCTACCATATTGTATAGCATGGCTTTAAAGGAGGATAACTTTGGGTTATTATTAACTTCTAATTAGGCCCAGATTATGTAAAATTCCATGTTCACTTATAGGAGATTAATAAACTAATAATTTTTTTGTCCAGTAGAGAAGCAAATGAATTCTTTCCAGAAGAGACAGCCCTGTGGATTCTGATTATATTAACCAATTTTGCAGTCTTCTTCCAGTGTTCTTTCTTTCACTGACTAGATACACATTTCAGTCTGCTGTATCCTTTTTGACCTAGCTGCGCCATCCTCCTTGTTTCCTCTTTAATGATTTGCATCATTCTTTGACACATGCAGGAGCTCCCTGGTGATTCGCTTGTATGAGAGTCATGTGTAACTTTTTGAAAATTATACTTTGATACTTGCTCAGTCACTTAGATTTGATTGTCCTGTGGGCTTATTTGTGAATTAGAATCTTTAAAAGCCTTTCTGAAAATCCAAAGATATAAACTTTTTGACCTTCACCTTTAAGCAACCTTAGATCCTGTAGGTGTCCAGTGGAGTGTCAGGTTTTAGAATAAGACTGAACAAGTCTGTGAGCAACAAAAGTCCTATTAAAATTAGCACCAAAGAAAAAATTTAGATTAAAAGTGTGATCCTCCCACTTGGAATTCGCGGTCTCAAGGTAGAAAACCACCAATAAATTGAGGACAGACTTAAAATACTGCAGTGAAATATGTTATGTATACTTGTATTTACACACATCGTGAATATAAGGGTTTGTTAATTTTCTTTCACACCACATTCTTCAGGCTTTTGAAACACTGGTGGACAAAGGTAAATATGCAGAGCAGAATGTCAGTACCAAAAGGCTGTAGTGGAACTGGAGAGAGGCCCCAACTGCATGATGCACTCAAAGGAGAGTGAGAGGAGTTTCTGGGAACAGGAGCTGATGGCTGATTTTTCTATCGCTTTTCTCCTTCTACCATGCCAGAGGAGGGTTCTGTCTACTTTGGGATTTAGCTAATTCCCTGGATGGTGCAAACGGTTAATGCACTCTGCTGCTTACTGAAAGATTGGAGATTCAAGTCCATACAGCCTTGGAAGAAAGGCCTGGCTATCTACTTCTGAAAAACTAGCCACTGGAAACCCTATGGAGCACAGTTCTGCTCTGACACAAATGGGTCACCATAGTTAGAGTTGACTCAACGGCAACTGGTTTTTTGTTTTTTTGGTGTATGTGTGTGTTTAATCTAATATTAAAAAATCCCTGTTATAAGCCCCAGCTAGGAGTGATTAAAACCCGCATCTTCCAGATTCACCAAATGATGAGGCGACCACACCACTGGCAGGGCCTGCCTGAAGGAGTATGAGGTGCTAGTGCTGCCATCCACTAGGAGATGGACAGCATAATAGGCCAGCCTGAGAAAAAGTCGGCAGGAAAAGGGACTTCAGGAGATTTGCAGCATGAATAAGATTGGCATCTTAAAGGCCCTCTAATCTGTTTTCTTGCTTCGGCCCCAAAACCATTCTTACAAATAACCCAGAGGAACTTTTCTGTTCTCTTTTTAAATTTTGCAGGCAAATGGCTAACAATTAGACCATTAGACATGAGCCAAAATGCTCCTTTGTCCACCAGTGTTTCCAGAGCCTGAAGACTGTGGTGTGAAAGAAAACTAACAAACCCTTAATATTCACAATATGTGTAGATATAAGAATACACAATATAATGCATTACAATATTTTAAGTCTGTCCTCAGTTTATTGGTGGCTATCTTGAAACCATGAATTCTGAGTGGGATGACCCACCTTTAATCTAAATTTTTTCCTTGGTGCTGATTTTAATTGGACTTGTGTTGCTCACAGCCTTGTTTTGCTAACCTATAAAGTGCAGAAAATTAAAATATATCCCAAACTATTAACTACTCACTAATATTTTTAGTGAGTCTTAAATAGAAGGTATTTTCACCCTAAATTTCAAAGGTTACAAAGGATCACAATAGAGGGTCCCAGACATAGCTGGAGAAAAATGTAGGACAAAATTCCAACTAACAACAACAAAAAAAAAAACCCAGACATACTGGTTTGACAGAGACTGGAGAGACCCCAAGAGTATGGCCCCCGAACACCCTTATAGTTCAGTAACGAAGTCGCTCCTGAGGTTCACACTTCAGCCAAAGATTAGACAGGCCCATAAGACAAAACCAGACTAAATGGGCCCACCAGCCCAGAAGCAAGGACAAAAAGGCAGGAGGGGACAGGACAGCTAGTAATGGGGAACCCAAGGTTGAGAAGGGGAGAGTGTTGACATGTCGTGGGGCTGGCAACCATTGTCGCAAAACAATATGTG